CTGGTTATATCACTCTACTCAGAATGAGATAACTGATAATCTGGTTATATCACTCTACTCAGAATGAGATAACTGATAATCTGGTTATATCACTCTACTCAGAATGAGATAACTGCTAACAGAGAAGGTATTACAATTTAACATTAGATTCTCTGTATCGTCCTTCACTTGTGTATGGAGCTGACAAACCAGGCAACAATCAGTGTGAACTCACTCCGGAGATTTAAACTCATGAACATCTCACCCATGCCAAAGGGACATAACTCTGCACAGCAAATTGTAATGTCTCTGACATGGAAAATAATAATAATAATGAAAATAATAATATTTCTTTAAAATAACATATTATTTGCAAGGATTCAGTAAAGTTAACAGAATTGTTTGGAACAAAAACCATTTTTCCATAAAACAGTTAAGAGGGTTGAGGATATTAAGTGTGAGGTGAATTGTTGCATAAAAGAAACATCATACCACTCACTACACTTGAAGTCATAATCTTCCAAATATTTTCAATATGTATAAAAAATTTGGTTACATAAGTCATTTAAATAATTATATTCTAAAACACTAATTGAGAATATATATGCAGGTCGATATAAGACAAAACTGTCACATATCTATAAAATATATATGACAAACAACAGTATCTGTAGTTAGCCAGTACCCGTTGTTACAAGTGCATATTACAGTGTTTTATAACACGTTTCATGTTACAAGTGCTTATTGGAGAACTGACGTTACGGTGTGTTATAACACACTTATAACACATATTTCATGTTACAGATGTTAACTGAATTCTAGCCATGCCTTTGGGTTACACTGTATTCCATTACTGTTGATGCAGGTTTCTTGTTGACGGTTGTTAATTATGCTGTGTGAAAGTGAGATTGTGATAACAGTTGACATTGTGTGGATACACAACTGTGTAAACAGTTTTTGACATTGTGGTGCCGTGACAGTCTTCAGTGTGGGCAGACACTGGCAGACCAATGGAAACCTTTAATCACGTGAAGCTGAAGATGATCAAAACACTTTACAGCATGCTCCTCAATACAGTGACCGTGATTTGTGAGTGTCAAGCTTGTGAGTCAGCGAGTCAGCTTCACATGGGAGCATGCCATGCTATGTAGGTCTCAAACATGTACCACTATGGTGAAACCCATGGTGCGGACAAACCTAGAAACATACTGGTGGCAAACAAGATTCAAACCCACATTTATCGGATTCTGTAACATCCAAGGGACACAACTCTGTCAAAGGACTGACTGACTTACTGAGTTTGGTTTTACGCCGCTTTTAGCAATATTCAAGCAACATCACCAGAAATGGGCTTCACACAATGTACCCATGTGGGGATTCGAACCCGGGTCTTAGGCGTGATGAGCCAACGCTTTAACCACTAGGCTACCCCACCGCCCCTCTGTCAAAGGAAGAAGGTGATGTATTATGCATTCAGATCTGATTGAGAGTGAGGAGTTGGGTATAATGTTGCCTTGAAAATCTTTGAACAGGTGCCCCGAAGCCATGACCTGTCACTTCCAACTCAGTGAGTCAGATGTAGAACTTTATCCTGAACTGTGTGCTGTTCAGGCCATGACCTACCAAGCCCACGAGTGTTTTGTGGATCACTAGAGTGTGTTGAGCTGTAACAGTGCTTTGAACAATATGTCGCTTATATCACTGCACGCAAAATCTGACCAATGTCAGGTTATGACATGCCAAAACTGACAGATGTTTTGCTGACCAACAAATCACATGCCACAATCGTCAGATGTTTTGTTGACCAATCAATGACATGCCAAAAGTGACAGATGTTTTGTTGACCAACCATTGACATGCCAAAACTGACAGAAGTTTTGTGGGTGACACAAAAGTTCACAACTGCATGCATCATACAGTGCGTCAACTAACAGCTGCTGGTGCTTCAAGAAACATCCCAGAACCCATGAGAGATATGTACACGATGCCATCCTGATGTTTGTGCATGCAGACAAGATGTCTCCAGAATACAGTGCTCAGATTCCTGGATTCCGTGCACCAGATGATCCTCGGCATCTTTAAGCTGTATTTACAAGCATCGTAACACTTCAATGAACTATGTACACATTTACCATTCAGAGATCCTCACGTCATTCATCTACACCACATGTTTAAATATATATACTACATTTATACACTTCCTTGACAACAGTGTTTAAAACCTATACAAAACATCATCAGAAATGTGCCATCAATTTGTCAGCCTATTGCAAACCCAAAGGGACATAGTGACACAAATACATCATGCAAAAAGATTTACTTCAGAACACTGGACCACTTAAGATCTGAACAGATGAGGACTTTAAGAAATCTCAATTGCAAATAAGGGGTATGGTGAAACCAACTTTCAATATGCTCAGTACGGGCAAGAAGTAAACTATTAACAGCCCTGAATGAGGACTTTAAGAAATCTTAATTGCAAACAAGGGGTATGGTGAAAAAGAAGTTCAATATGGTCAGTAAGGGCAAGAAGTAAACTGCTAACAGCCCTGACTAAGGACTTTAAGAAATCTTAACTGCAAATAAGGGGTACAAGGAAAGTTCAAAATGCTCAGTAAGGGCAAGAAGTAAATGTCATGGGGTTCATAAATAAAATCAGTTCTGCAGTACGCTGGTACTGATGAAATTATAATTAGGAATCTTTAACCTCAAATTTTACTAAACATTCACCAAGCCCTGCAGTAATACAAGTTTTCCCACATTTATCTCCTTAATGGTTCATATAAATATAGCTTCAAACACTCTATGTATATACATAACAAATACTGTGGTAATCGGGTATGGTACAAAGGCTCCAGACTACAAATGGAACTAACTTATTGCAAACCTAGAGCAAAACCTGGGCCTGATAATCCGTTCAAGCTGAAAAAGGCTGCCATTAGATTTGGTTTTAGAAAAGTGTTGGTTTCAGGACTGGTTTCATACAGGGTAGACCCGCAGACCCGCAGACCCGTGAAGATCAGGGTTTGAACAGGGTGTTCAGCAACCCATGCTTCTCGTAAGACGCAACTAACGGGATCAGGTGGTCTGACTTGGTTGTCACATGTCATCATATCCCAATTGTGTAGATCGATGCTAATGCTGTTGATCACTGGACTGTCTGGTCCAGACTCGAGTATTTACAGACTGCCGCCATATAGCTGGAATATTGCTGAGTGCTGCATTAAACAACAACCAAACAAACAACAATGAAAACCTACAGGGCAGTAGGACTGACTTGTCACGGTCGCCGGTCAACCTCTCAGGCCACTTTCATGGCAGACTATGTACCTCAAACTATGTCGGCCCCACAAGTACAAAACAATAGTTATAACCATTTAGGATATGTAAGGAAACCTTTAATTGATATTTGGGTATATTCTGATACATGGGCCAGTTCGACCTGTGACCAGTTCTAGATCAATCCCTTCCAGCTCCCCTTTACCAGTACGTAAAACCAACACATTCTATTGAACTGAAACAATACAAAAGCCCAAATGAACAAGTTTGCAGGTGTAATCGTTGTCAGTTGTAATAATGGTTGAAGTGTTGTCAAACAATACAATAGTTCAAGTCACTTCACTCAGAGTTAATACTGCTATGTACAGGACACAAGTTCAGTGGGTATACCACAGTTACTGGCTGCAACATAGACACATGTCCACCACATCGCGGAACGAGACAATAATGTCTGGTATTTGTAACACCAGTGTTTGAAACTACTGCCCGTCCCACAGTTCCCCCGTCCTACTGTCGCACACAACACAGATCTGTCTGGAACTTGGGAACATCTCAGTGTACATGCCACATGGACATGGTACAGTCATTTAATGGCAACTTTGGTAGATTCTAGAATTGTGCTAAAATCGTTCAGGAACATATACTGAGAGAAACAAATAAAGGATCGCAGGAAAATTCAAGCGTTCCTTTATTGTTTTCCACTTTTCATCACCTCAGCGCTATTCAAAGGTGGTGATGAAAACTGGAAAATATTAAAGGAATGCTTAAATTTTCCTGTGATGCGTTATTAGTTTCTCTCAGTATATATCTATAACAGCATGTCTCCTAAGTTTTATTATTAGCCTTTGAATTAGATCTATATCAATTGACGTCATTAAAGTCTAATCTGATACAAAATATTTTACACCCTCTCACTCACTAGTCTCCCTGTTTCAACCATTTTAAGGGGAAACTGATCTTTGTTTTACGTTTAAAATGAGGGCGACAAGACAATCTTGGGCAGATAAGTTTTCAGTATTACAAGTCTGTGATATATAACGACGGGAGGACGAGATTTTCAGCGTTACCAGTCTGTGGTAAAATTTCAAACACTGGCATAACACATATGTAGTAACTTAAAAAGAGGTTGGTGTGAAAACAGAAAGTATTCCCTTTATATTGACCAATCAAATTCCTCGTCATAGTTCATCACAGTTCATCACAGTCAGTCATACATACAGTTCATATAAATATTTCATCAGTAAATACACAAAAAAACCAATCTATTGTGACCAGGAATAAGGATATATAAATCCTCTATAAAACTCAAGCATGTTGATAAGACTGAGAATTCTTTGAGTTTGTAGATACACAAAGTAACTTTCAATCGGGACGGATATCGCGGTGGTAGGTTCCCAGACACTGGCCTACATTCAAATCAATGCATTCCAAATTTGCCAAGTCAGCTAAAATGCAATAAATAAAATGCAACACTCACTATCATGTTATTTCACAATAACATGGCAATGGATCAATAACATGCAGTGTTACACACACAAAACAAACAACTGACGTAGCGTTACGATTAGCCTTAACAAGCACAGATCTGTATATCTATTAATTCTATTATTTCATTGTTTTAACATTAGTGGCAGCAGACAAGTCAAGTCCTATAATGATGGGAAGTATGTCCACTAAGATGTTGCAAAAAATGCCTTAACCTTTCCATAATTTGCATCAGTTTTGTTAAAATGATCAGTCTTTCTAACTTCACACACAGCCCTGTAGCTCACTCAAGATTAATCCATGGTTAATTCATGTTCGCTCAAGATGATACAATTTTCAAAAGAATCAATCTTTCTAAAAAACCACTTCATTAATTCTTTATCAATTTGTGAAAGTATCTGGATTGTTTGGATTAGCAGTCTTCTTTGGTCAAGGTGGACACTGACCATCAAATACAACCATGGACCTGGTGTGAAAACAATTTATACCACATGAATTGATGGAATAAACTGTCAAACAGGTCCATGGAACATGGGCTTAACCTCTTTCAGATTAGAAAACAGATTTGACCACCAAACAAGGCAGATTACATACATACTGATATGACAAACAGTGATATGATCATCTATCTCATTGTAAACTTGGTCACATGTATTCAAGTAAAATGTGAAGCTCTGATATTTCAAACAATTCCCTCCTGCAATATTCAAAACTGTTAATATGTGAATATATATGTCAATGACACTTTTATAATGCAAACAAACACAGGTTAAATCAATTCTATCAAACAACTATTACGCATATTAGTTATGCATTACAATTTGGTTGTAACCAATGGAAGATATGTGAAAGTTCATGTAAGTTCATAATCATAAATAAACTTTGGCTCGGTAATTTTTTCATCATTTATTCTAACAAAATGAATTGTCATTTCACTATGTTTTCCTCACACATAAAAAATAGGCATAACATTCAATAAATATCGGACAAGCGGACATTACACAATGACTAAGAACCGAGTGACCAGCCACTACAACACAAGTAAAGTAAGCCAGAGCACTTTGTAAACATATCAGTATCACAGAACCTTGACAACTAGTTGCATAAAAATGCAATAATTTATAGAATTTATAGAATGGAGCCATTTCACTGACAAACAAACTGTGGTTCAAGACAGGTTTCTTGTCACATGGCCTAAACTAGCCATGTGACCTAGGTGGGAACCAATCGGTGAGCTTTATTCACATCATGTGACTAGTGGTCTGCTTGTTCATAGAAGAGAAGGTAGCCTTCAGATGACACAGCTTGATTGGACCTCGCTGGAGCGACCCTGAAAAAACATTCAATAAATTAGCATCCTCCATGATGAGAGACTTGGGTTTGATATCAATGTGTGTCCACTCAAAGGGACTGTGCATCCTCCATGCCGAGAGAGTTGGGTTTGATATCAATGTGTGTCCACTCAAAGGGACTGTGCATCCTCCATGCCGAGAGAGTTGGGTTTGATATCAATGTGTGTCCACTCAAAGGGACTGTGCATCATCAGTTATGTGCATTGTACATTAGTACATCATGCTTGAAATAATTTCCAATATGGATGTCACACTTTCATTGAAGCCAGATTCAATCTTCGAACCTATACATTAGAGCTCTGCCCAGCTGAAGACGACTTTCAGAGCACACTGGCTTCAGACATGTTGCCTTTTAGATAAACTCAGGGATTTTTACTATTGATACATTACAAGGGCAGTGGCCCATTCTAAATTCAGAAAATGTTTAATAATCCTGAAAATGGCCTATTGTCAAAGTTCTATATCCCAATCCCTGCAAACGGCAGAGAAACATGGTGTGTTTTCCTTACTGATAAGATTATGCCCTTGATCACTGGATTGTGTGGTCCAGACTGGATTATTTACAGACCACAGCCATATAGCTGGAACATGGCCTCAAACAACAAACACACAAACCACACATCAGTTACAAAACACTAACTGCAAGCTGGATTACATCAGCATATATACAAGCCTAGATTACACCAAAATAAATGCTTCCATTGCATGATGTCAAAATCGTCTCCTTCCTAGAGTGCCTTGCAGCCAGTCTACTACCTCTGTCACATTGTCACATCTTCCAAAGTTTGGACAAGTTCACACATTCAGAAAAACATGTCATATTATAACTTTCAAGAAGAAAATATCCTAAAATGTGAACACCTAGCTCCATCAGCATATAGCACAATAGTGCAGTGGTAAGGCGTCTGCCTATCACGCTGAAGGCCCGGGTTCGATCCCCGGGGGAGGCACCTAGGTTCGGGTCCAGAGTTAGGCACATTTGCGTAGTATCCTTGGACAAGACACTTAGATCCACATTGTCTTAGTTCACCCAGCTGTAAAATGGCCGGAGGCTCGGGGAATACAACCTTACGAGGGACTGATAAAACCCTGTATTTCCCGAGACACGATGTGATAACGCATTTATCTAGCCGAATGTTTTTACAAAATCAAAAGAAAACAATATGCATCGAATCGACTTGCTACCATGTTGACACCAGCTGATCGATTGACCTCAATGCAGCGCACCTTACTAAAGGCTTGGCGATACACGCTTTTCTCACTTCCCGTGGTCACCGAGGCGTGGCGGGATAATCTGACTTTTGTACTCCCTGCTCGCGGATCGTGACGGGTGTACATGGTATTTTATCAGAGTCACGTGAACCAATCAATACTCGACATTCTTACATGAGGCTGGATAAGTCAGGTTGCTGGACCTAACCTGGAATCACCACAAGGATCATCTTATGAGCACAGAACAACAAATTTAACTAACAGTACTGAGATGGCAGTTGTAGACTGTGCTATGCCTTAAGTCTCTACCTTGTGTCGCTGTAGAGGTGCCACTCCCCTGAGTACGGATGTCGACATATTGCCGTGTAGTGGCCGGAGTGCACTCCCCCTGAGTGGTTGCTGACGGCGTACAAGTTGTACACCATATTGGATCCCCCTGAAACATACAAGTTGTACACCATATTGGATCCCCCTGAAACATACAAGTTGTACACCATATTGGATCCCCCTGAAACATACAAGTTGTACACCATATTGGATCCCCCTGAAACATACAAGCTGTACACCATATTGGATCCCCCTGAAACATACAAGTTGTACACCATATTCAGTCCCCCTGAAACATACAAGTTGTACACCACATTGGATCCCCCTGAAACACACAAGTTGTACACCACATTGGATCGCCCCTGAAACATACAAGTTGTACACCATATTGGATCCCCCTGAAACATACAGAACTTGTATACCATCTTGTCCCCTTGAATCGTATGCCACACAACATCTTGTAGTATTTGAACCATCTTGTACACCATCTTGTACCCACTGAATCATAGTATACACTTGTACACCACCTTGTGCCCGTTGTATAATATAAACAATTGTACACCAACCAACTAATACAGTCATTTACAGGCACTGTATTCAAGTTCAACACAAGATCACTTCCTGTATTCAACACAAGAGATCCCTCCCTGTATACAACACAAGATCCCTCCCTGTATTCAACACAAGATCCCTCCCTGCATACAACACAAGAGATCCCTCCCTGTATACAACACGAGATCCCTCCCTGTATACAACACAGATCTCTCCCTGTATACAACACACAAGATCCCTCCCTGCATACAACACACTCCCTGAATACAGATCCATCCCTGTATACAACACAAGATCCCTCCCTGTATACAGAGATCCCTCCCAATACAAAGAGATCCCTCCCCGTATACAACAAGAGATCCCTCCCCGTATACAACAAGAGATCCCTCCCTGAATACAACACAAGATCCCTCCCTGTATACAACACAAGAGATCCCTTCCCGTATACAAGAGATCCCTCCCTGTATACAAAAGATCCCTTCCCGTATACAACAAGAGATCCCTCCCTGTATACAACACAAGATTCCTCCCTGAATACAACACAAGATCCCTCCCTGTATACAAGAGATCTCCCTGTATACAACAGAGATCCTCTCCCTGTATACAACAAGAGATCCTCTCCTGTATACAAGAGATCAATACAAGAGATCCTCTCCCTGTATATAACAAGAGATCCCCTCCCTGTATACAACAAGAGATCCTCTCCCTGTATACAAGAGATCCTCTCCCTGTATACAAGAGATCCTCTCCCTGTATACAACAAGATCCTCTCCCTGTATACAACACGAGATCCCTCCCTGTATACAACAAGAGATCCTCTCCTTGTATACAAGAGATCCTCTCCCTGTATACAACAAGAGATCCTCTCCCTGTATACAACAAGATCCCCTCCCTTACCTCTCTCTGCAGCGTAGTCCTTCAGCTCCAGCCTAGCAGTGGGGTACTCCACGCTTGTCGTCAGCTTCCTCCCGAACTTCTCCTGGCTGAACCGTTTTAAGTCTGGGAGAAGTCAAGGCACAAATCACATTGTTTCTATGTGTTTCTCTCACAACCACTTACAGTCAAGGCACAGATCACAGTTTCCATGTTTCTCTCACAACCACTTACAGTCAAGGCACAAATCACACTGTTTTCATGTTTCTCTCACAACCACTTACAGTCAAGGCACAAATCACACTGTTTCCATGTTTCTCTCACAACCACTTACAGTCAAGGCACAGATCACAGTTTCCATGTTTCTCTCACAACCACTTACAGTCAAGGCACAAATCACACTGTTTTCATGTTTCTCTCACAACCATGCACACAAACAAATACAGTCATACAGAAATCGATAGATGCTGCCTGTAATGTGTTTTAAACATTATGGAAGTGAGTGAGTTGGGTTTAGTGTTATTCTGAACAATATTACAGCAATATTATCCTGTGAAAGCTATTAAGCATGTGTATGATGTTGACAGCCATGTATCACAACTGGGAGAACACAGATCCTAGTAGACCAAAGGGAAGCAACTCTGATCAGTCAAATTTGCCTTGGAGCCTTAACCACATGATGCCATGACATTCAAATCGTTTATGAAAAAGGATACGAAGAACAAGAATCTTTGGGAATTTCTGTATTGAGAAGCTCTTGGTGCAGGGTCGTCGTTCTTTACACTTGGCACACATCTGAAACATGGAGTTACACATCTCTGAGACACCCTTAATGTGAACACGGCAATCCTCACTTGAGCAGGTGAAAACTGTTTAACCCTGTACTCATCAATACTACAGCTATATTATCACATCAGTACCTGTGTCACACTGACTTTACAACAATACTACAGCTATATTATCACATCAGTACCTGTGTCACACTGACTTTACAACAATACTACAGCTATATTATCACATCAGTACCTGTGTCACACTGACTTTACAACAATACTACAGCTATATTATCACATCAGTACCTGTGTCACACTGACTTTACAACAATACTACAGCTATATTATCACATCAGTACCTGTGTCACACTGACTTTACAACAATACTACAGCTATATTATCACATCAGTACCTGTGTCACACTGACTTTACAACAATACTACAGCTATATTATCACATCAGTACCTGTGTCACACTGACTTTACAACAATAATGTAATTTTCTGAGTAAAATTGATATTTTATACTTATCCTGACTCATGCTCTTTTGCTTGTCCCCTTCCTCTTGCGAACATAGTGGAACACTTGTATCTCCTTAATTGAAGCTCCCTTCAATGTAAAATCACTAATTGGTACTCACCCACGAGTTACCTCCCCTGCCGTGAGCGCGGGAACAGGTGTCGCCACCCTCTGGCCTCATGCTTCACTCTCTCCTGATTTTGCGAGCCCAACACTTGAATTTACAGGGAAATCCAAAGTGTTATGTGGGGAGGATGGGAGGGCTAACCTCATGAGTCAGGATAAGTATAAAATATCAATTTTACTCAGAAAATTACATATTTTCCTTATCCTGACTCATGCTCTTTTGCTTGTAGAATCCACCGGAGGGTGGTGGGTAAACAGAATACTTTGGATTAATTAGTGATTTAAGTAAGTGATATTGTAATAACCCCTCTTGGAACTTCATAAGGCATTGAGACTTAGGATATTTCCTTATAATAATCCATAGATATATACACTATAAGTGGGGTATTACCTTACTAATATACTGATATATCAATATATATATATAAACTGCTACTCTAGCATAGCTGTACACTGAATATAACTCAGTATGAGCTTAAGGTTGAATAACCTAAGCTAAATATGTACATAGCCCTAGAACTCCATGGAGTTATAAGCTAGTGAATATATGTATCATATATCTAATAATCTCGTGGGGGTGAATATTAAGCCCTCACGAGGGACTGTCAATTGTTGGCGAGGACCAAAGGACCCGAAATGATGAATGCCAGAGGCGTCCTCGGTGGTGATATCTCTGAGATAGTGATTAGCAAACACCATGTTAGATTTCCAAAGCATCCTTCCATAATTGTATTCAATGAACAGTTACCATGAAGGGCGGGGTGGATGCCAATGCCCTGATTTCATGGGGATTTGATGCTGTTGGAGGGTCAGTCCTGCTGCCTTATAGGCGTAAAATGACAGTTCTTATCCATATTGATATGGTGGTGCGAGAGACTTCTGTCTGATTTGTAGGCGATAGCGGGATGAACAATCTTCTGGCGATCTTAAGCCTTGTTTTGGAAACAGCGTAAATAGATTATGAGAGCTTTCGTTACTGGGCATAGAGATAAGTCCAATGTATCTTGAGATCCAAGAATTGAGGATAAGCAGGGGATGTGAAATAACCTGTCTGGTTGACCTGGTAGTTGATTTTTAGCGATGAAATCCCATCTTAATCCCAGGTGCTGTCTTTTTGATTTTCATCAAACTGTATCCTCTCATAATCTAGAGCATGAATTTCAGATATTCTGGCTGCGTGGCTAGCGATAACAGGAAGACTGTTTTCTGTGAGAGAAATTCAAGCGTTAATCGATTCAATGGTTCGTAATCCTCACTTGTGAGGTGTCGTAAAACTACATTCAGATCCCAAGCTGGGGCTTGGAATTTCAGCTTTGGTCCTCAATGCGGAAAGCACGCATAGTAAGGCCAGTAACTCTGGTGTTCTTGTTAATTTAACACCCGTTCTCATAGAAATCACAGAACTAAAGCGGCAAGATATGTTGACAATGTCGAGCCTTTTAAATGTTTGTTTTGCCGTAAGTAACACAAATAGTCTGCCACTTGAGGATCGTGGCATCTCTGGCTAATAAAACCCTTGTTTGTTGCATAATTTTGAAACTTTGCCACTTGTCATCATTACAAGTTCTGCGTTGAGTATCGTGAAGGCAAAGCGTGACCGCTTTTGCCCCCTGGTAGAATATCCTCTCTTGTTTAAACACATTTTAATACAGTCCATGCGTGAAGTTTGAATACTTCTGGGTTTCTGTGCACCTGTTTGGTGTGAGGATGTATTAACAGGTTTGCGCAGCTTGGGTAGTTCTAGTGCCGGTTGACCGATATCTTGTATTAAGGCGGAAACCACGTTCTGGCCGACCAATAGAGCGACCAAAGTGAGTTGTAGGCTCTGCGTTTGGTTGATTTTCTGTAATACTAGAGGTATTATTGCTGCTGCGGAAAGCGTGACGCGTTGAGGCCTTCCATGAAATGCTTAGGCGTCTGTTGCCCATGCTTGTGGGTCTGGCACTGGTGACCACGAATGTCGGTAGTTGATTGTTGAACCTTGTGGCGAATAGATCTACTAGCGGCTCCTATTTGCTTGATTATCTGTGCAAATATCTCTGTATTGAGCATCCATTCTGTCGTGACGGTAGATGTGGCGAGAGAGAGTGCGTCTGCTAGTATATTCCTGGCTCGGGAATGTGGCATGCTTTGACATGTAGATTTAGATCTTGGATTAATTCGAACAGTTGAAAGGTTAAATTCAAAAGGTTCGGCGATCTCGTTGAGCCTTGTCTGTTCACATAAAAGCGCCACTGTCGAGTTGTCGGTATGTATCATCAGGTGCGCATTCTGTAGAATGTTGCTCCAATGTCTTATGGCGTTGATTACAGCTTTCATCTCTAATGCGTTTATGTGGAGTTTGCTTTCTAGCTGAGTTCATAACCCTGATGCCGTCCGATTGTAGAGATGAGCTCCCCAACCTTGGAGCGACGCGTCTACATATAGATGGGTCTTGAATTCCTGCTCTGCTAAACAAATCCCTTCGCAGACATTCGATTTCTTTGTCCACCATAATAGATGAGGTCTGAGATGTATCGGTAGACTGAATGGTTGTAGGTCGTCGAGATGTGTATTGGCGAAGACCTGTAGCGGACGTAACTGTAATCTGCCTATGACTGTCAAGTCTTGGGCTGATGTTAGAAGACCTAGTAAGCTCTGCCATTGTCGAAGTGGTAGCGGTGACAGTAGAGCTGGTGGAATGATCTGTTGGATCTTGAGCCAGCGGTCTTCTGAAATGCGACTATCACGGTTGAGATTGGTGATAAATCAGTTCCTAGGAATTGCAGATCTTGCGATGGTACTAGGTCCGACTTGTGTAAGTTTACTAACCATCCCAGCTGTGTTAGTAGCTTTATGATGTAGTTTAACTGTAGTTTGAGATGCTGTGGATCTTGATCTACTTGTATCCCGTCGTCGAGGAAGAGCACTGCGTAGCCCTTGGCGATGTAGATGAATAACAATCGATTTAAGTTATCCTCGTGAATAACCATGGGGCTGATGCTATTCGAATGGGAGTACTTTCCACTGGTAATGTAACCCGTCTAAGCGTAAACCGAAGGTATTTCCTGGATTCGGGATGTATTGGGATGTGCAGATAAGCATCTTGTAGATCTATACTGCCCATGTAGTCCATGGGGCGAATCATCTGCCGTAGCTTCTGCGGTAGATGTATCATAGTGAACCTGGGTGGTTTGTTTAAGTAAGTCTTGTTGAATAAGCTCATGTTGTAAATGAGTCTGTATTTCTCCTTGGAGTTCTTCTTGGGTACTAGGAAAACTGGGGAGTAGAAACCTGGTTCGATGTTTCCTTGCTCTATTACTTCTATGGCCTGCTTGGTTAGGAGTAATGTAACCGCCTCTCTTAACTTTAGTAGTTGTTGTGCCTCTACCTCGAACTTGTGAGGGTTGACTGTTAGTGGAGGCTTGGCCTGTAGTGGGATCACGAAATCCAGCGTTGAAGAATGTTGGAGACATAGGTGTCTTGAAGTATTCCCCAGTTTTCCCAGTGTAGTTGAAGGCGTCCACCCACTTGTGGCGGTTGTACTGGAGCGGCTGGGGTGGAAGACTCCAGTCGTTCGAACCTGTCTTTCAGCGTTTATAGTTGCGGGAACCTCTGGGTGTCCTGCCTCGTCCTGACCCTCCTCTATAGTTGCCATATGGGCGAAAAAAGAATCTCTTCCCCTGGAACTGGCAATCTTCCTGTCTCTAGCTCTTTGTAGGCCCGTGAATTTAGATCTCCCTGAGTATCTTTGTGAAGTCTGTCGAATGACACTGGCTAGCGTGTCCATCGATTTAATCATCAGGACTTCTCTAGAATCCTTGGTGACTTCTTTGGAGACTGTGTCTATTCCTCCGTCAAATATGGATGGGGAAGACCACGGGCTGTATATAGTGGAGCTGTAAAGTTCTCACCCCAGTTGCAGGAAGCTAGGAGGCCTTGACGACGAGCTAAGGTCAGTGCTGCTGAGACAGGCGTCAGATGATCTGTTAAAACTGCTGGTCCTTCTTTTGCATCAGTAGGGCGAGAGTAAATCATTCTGTCATCTTCAGAGGTTAGGTGTTCGAAATCTGGAGATAAGTGTCTCATTTATTGTTCTAGATCTATTTAGACCGAAGAACATCGCCCCTCGTCATGGTTTCTATCTGAACCAATTTCCGATCATCAATCTTGTAGTACTTGTTCTTGGCATCGGAGATCAGCTTATAGTTCTCATCGATGTCTTGGCTTTGAAGAAGGGTTCCATATTATCGTGGAGAACTTCTTGGCTGAAATTTGGCAGATGTGGCGTCTGAACCTTTGTGGCTTTGTTAAATGCTGTATCTAGGTTCTGAGGTACCGCCCTGTCGAGGGTCGATTGGGGGTAGTGTAATAGCATCTGCGTCATCTTCTTTCATCAGATAAGTCTGCTTTATTGCCACTCTTGGAAGGTGATGAGAGATCTAGATTATTGACCATCCAATATCTTATCTCTGCATCTGAGAAAATAATTCCTCCATCATCTTCCATTCCATCATCATAGATAAGAGGTTGTTGCTCTTCTGATGTAGGGCTGTGTGGCTCTATCTCTATATCGTTTGGCTTGTGGAGATCTAGTTGTAGGCTTATGTGCAGACCTGTGAGGTGATCGGCGTGGTGATCGGCGCAGGTGATCGTCTTGGTGATCTATATCGATAGGTTGACCTTCTTGGCGATCTATGAGGGACTGATAGCCCTTGCGAAGCTCTTGTGTAGTCCCTTGCTGATCTTTTAGATGAAGAGCGATCTGGGTTCAGGTGTCCTTCGCGAAGCGCCGCAGCGAAGCTTCGTATATCGTCGGTCCTGGGAGCGATGATATGACCTTCGCGAAGGCTTGCGTGTGGTCTGGTGATCAGATTCCATATCTGAGTATGGCGCCCGAAGAAGGTGATGATTCTTCCGCCAGCGAAGGCCTTGGCGAAGGCTGTACATCTGGGTCCTTCGTCGAGGTGGTCTGTGACTTCCTTAGCGAAGGCTGCATTGTCGTGGCTGCTTTCACGTTGACAGATGGTGCCCCTGGGGTGCTGTCTCGTTGGAGCCTTCGCGAAAACTTCGGACCCTGGGATGGCTGCTTCTCCAGTCTATAGTGGCCTTCCATCATAATCATGATCTGTTTCATAAGATCGTTTGGGATGATCTGCGGCGTAGTAGATGGTGCCCTTTCTGCTGTGTTAGCGGTGGGGCCCTCAGCGATCTCGTCTGACATCAGTGTAGAGGCATCAGGCTGCTTGTTGATCTCTGCTGGCGTCACTGTCGCTGTCACTGGTAAACTTCTTGTGGCGTATGTCGGGTATGATGATCGGCTGGTCATCGTAGAGGCCCAATTCTGCTGCTGGAGCGATCTGGCGTCTGAGAAAGTTCTCGATGACTTCGTGGAATTTCCCTTTGGAGGAAGGCGGCTGCCCTGGGGAGTCACGAAGTCTGCGTTGAGAAGACGTTGAGGCCCTCTTGGACTTTGTCTGCGATGACTGGATGTCTGGAGAGGCGGTTAAGCTTCTTAGAGGTGACGGACTGCATCCCACGTCCCTCTTCCGATGGGGTCTCAAGCAGAACACCAGGCGGAGGGGATCACTTTCGACAACAGTTGACTGGATGGGCAATCCGGCGTATATCGGCCATGTCTACACCTAGTTTTAGCGTGACCTATCTGCAACACGTCTCAAGGCGCAAAGATGGTATTTATCAAAGGCAGAATTGGTTAAATTTATGCAGTAACTGCAGCGTGAGTCAAGCGCACAAGGGCGTAGTACAACTAGGGCATACCACATGCGGATCCGCGGCGAAAACGCGTAATCTACAAATAGTACAGTTTTCATCAATGTAAAACTAGCTGAACAATCCGCGAACTCAATTGAATAAACAGTAGAAATACGATTAATTATTAACGCAAATAACTGAAGGATACTAGCTATACCTTTATAGTAAACTATAAAAGGTAACTAACTAAGAAAAACCAAAGGATATAGTGTGTAAGGAGACACAGGCGCTCTCACATCCTGCTCACTGGGCGAAGAAGGAGAGAGTGAAGCATGAGGCCAGAGGGTGGCGACACCTGTTCCCGCGCTTACGGCAGGGGAGGTAACTCGTGGGTGAGTACCAATTAGTGATTTTACATTGAAGGGAGCTTCAATTAAGGAGATACAAGTGTTCCACTATGTTCGCAAGAGGAAGGGGACAAGCAAAAGAGCATGAGTCAGGATAAGGAAAAATCTACAGCTATATTATCACATCAGTACCTGTGTCACACTCAGAAATATTCATGCAGTGTGACAGTGGCCTGACAATAATCAGTTCTGGATGATATCAAAACGAGTTTCAGTTAGTGTAAACTAATGAGTTTCAACAATTGCAGAGTGATGTCTTCATCTGCCATGACATAAACACTTTAATAAAAGTGTCTGCATGATGTTGCCAATGTGGCAGACTGTGCAAATATTCATCTGAGATGAAGAACACCTCTGTGTACTGACCGGTTCATCCTGCAGGTCCTCTTCCTTCATGAAGAGTCGGATACAGTCATCCAGGCTCACCTCGCTTCGATTCTACAAAAGCAATACAGCTATAAAGTAATAGAGCAAAAAAAGGTTCATACTGCAAACTTTGGGGAGGAATCTTTGACTTGTGTTGAAAAGACCAGTGTTCACGAATGGTGTTTCAAAGTAACAGGACATTGGGTCCTGTAAGTTTCAGATGTCTGTCTGACCCATTCAAAATTCACAGGACCCATATATAAACTTAAACACACATTTCAGATTTAACATTTCTCATAATTGGCATTGAATTTATTAACAAACATAAGATTTATAAATGGCAAATAAGTGTCACATGTCACAACTTCAGTCAAAGTCATAGTTAAATATACAGTCAGACACTGGGGCCGGCGGGTTGTAGACTTCCATCAGACCGTTGGCGAATCTGCCGGATTTGTCAGAGGGTCAGACGCTATTCATGAACACTGAAAGACACCTCAGTGGAATTCTCTAAATCCTGTACATCGGATAGAGCGGGACACAAATACTCCAGGGTATCTTTAAGGGCCCTGCTTCACTAGACACACCTACTATAGCACTGACTTGGGCAGCACAAGCCTGGAGACAAGGCCCTGTACTAAAGCACCTTGGCGTCCTACCTTAGGAATTGGCAGCGACAGGTCCCAGAAGGGGTCAAATGTTACAGAGCGGTGCCCACACTGAGAGAATTTGAGCTCACTCTTTAACTGGCCAACGAAGATGTCTGAAATGGTAAACACACACTTCTGAAGGAAGCCAGTTAAATATGAAGAACATGTTACAAAGTCAGAAACCTCCAAAATGTAACACTCATCTCAAAAACAAGCATTGGTTACAAAAATCCATGACACCAGTGATATCGTCTGACATTAGAAGCGTTTGTAACTGGACAATACTCAACACTAGGGCTGGACACAAAGTGGCATTTAGAAGTCGGTGTGATCAACAAGGGCAATAGTTCTATGGATACACAACTCCTTTATTACAATAAATGCAACATTTCGGTGTGGATGCAAGCAGGTTACTTGACAGTTGAACTCACCGACTATCTTACTGTTATCATAGTTGAGGTAGGCTCGCCAATACTCGTGAGACTTCTCACTGTCACTGAAAGCAGAACAACATCCTCAGGCATACTGTCACAACAAAGATACTCTCTGTGATGAAGTTTCGTAGTATTCCATATCTTCATCAGTCATACTCGAACACATTACAACTTCAGCATGTTGTTTCATATAGTTCAAATATGCATCGTTAGATTATTGTTTTTGTGTAGTCTCAGAGTTTGTAGCTACTAGTAGTACTGCTTGAAGGAAACAAACTGTCTATCATGCAGTGTTCGAAATTAACATTGGTCCTTTGGCTTTGGGTCCTTAGGGCCTGCAGCTTTGTTAAGGTTAAAGGCACCGTTAACATGCTTATCTTTTCAACCAGAACTATTGTCCTCAAATGCTACTACTACAAGCGCTGCAAAACTGCTGGAATATTGCAGGGTGAGGCATTAAACAATATACAAACAACAAACACTAGCAAAATGGGACAACCATCATTGGAGTTTGTTTGTCCTCAGCACCATGCAAATAAGATAAGCTGACAAATTTCAAAAGCTGTCACTGATAATCACGACATAATACCATACAATGCACTATGGAGGACTAATTGTCAATATTCTTAGAGACAATGACACTGAGATCAAGATGACCTGTACAGTTTCAGTTCTATATGTGGCAAACATGGTGTCTGTACCTCTTTCTCTCCAGTTTGTTGTCCTCCAACACAATAGGCTTGGGTTTGGCAGTCACCTTGTTGACATCCTCATGCAGCCCCTCCAGGAGGTAACGCAGAAACTCTTGTGAATCTTGTTGTCTGTTTCAAAAGAACTACAAATCAATAACAGCAGGCACGGACTATCACAAGTTTATCTATACCTGTTAGAGGACACTTTCCCCACTATGTCTGTTACAGATGTCAGTCAACATTTTAAAATTAGAAATTTCCCAATTCATAACATTCAACTGAAGTTAACACTTGTAGAGACAAACAAGGAAATACAATCAGGTCAACCCTGGATTTAAACCCACAATGGTTAACTTCCACTGGGCCGCAGGGACACAACTCTGCACCGAGACAGGGGAGACAACTGCAGCACTAGTTTCAAATTATCTCCCTTGACCTATTCCATGACCTGTTATTTTTAATATCTCAAGTAAGTGCCAATGGTATGATACAAATCATGGGTTACCAAACTTGAGCTAATACTTCTCCAATACTACCCACTATGATCCAGCAGGGCAATGGATAACTCTGATGCAGACCTACATGTATGTATCCGTTTATCAACAGATGATTATAGTAAATATGCCAATCTATAGACTCACTAGTGCAAGTGTAGCCACTTACTTCAGTCAACTGTCCTAAACTAGATTTTGCAAAATATTCCATACTGTTTATAGGAACTGTTTAAACATGAACTGATGTATTGTAAAACAAATTCATTGAATTCGTTGAAAAAATTATTGTCATGAGTTCAATATATGACAAAAATTGACGAATTCTTAACAAACCTTTACACCAAAACGCAGCTGTTTACAGGCACGATATGTGCACATGCTTTTCAGCAATTTGATGCATGATCCTCGTGCAATTCATCTGCATAAGGTTTGCAGTTGGTTCCCCCAAGTTAGTGGAGAAATTCATCTTCGATGTAACCATATGTATATGCATAACATAGTGAATAGCATTGTGAATGCTTTAAGTGAGTCTAAACTTTTGATGGGTAGTATATATTAAACTCTATCAACCACACATTAGCACATTAAGGAGTACGGTTGTATGCCACTTTTCACAACATTATTTCATGAACCAGTCGGCATTTGAGCATGAAATGTTAATGCAGTAGTAAAAGACATAACAACACTGAATTCTTCAATGTCATATAAAGTATTCCCATTGGTGCAGTATCCAGGAAAACAAAATTAAATGAAAGATTTACTGACAGAAAAACACTCCACAAATGTGAAATCCATGAGCTACCCACAATTCCTTCCACTCTCTGGGCAGATCTAGCTGACAACGGTCGTACACCTGATGAGAAATAAAGGGATACTCACGCATAACCCATAAATCGAGGTGCAAACTTCTGTATCTGGGTCTTGAAGGCGTTTGGGCTGATGTAAGTGTCCGACCTGTCCTTCCACATGGACTGCATAATGTTCACATAGGCTGAAAGTCACAGAAGGAGGGGAATGAGTATGGTTTTACGCCGCTTTTAGTAATATTCCAGCAAAATCACGAGGGCAACACCAGAAATGGGCTTCATACATTGTAAGCAAATGGGGGATCTGAACCCAGGTAATCGGTGGGAAGGGCATACGGTTTAACCACTAGGCTACCCAACCATCCCTCGGGAAGCTGGAAGTGAGCCCTGGATTGGGAGAGTCATGGCGCCAAGCATGTGTGTTGGGATCACTGTCATCTTCAGTTATGCAACAATGATCACAAGTGGGACAAAGCAGCCAAGACATCATAACATAGTTTCTTCAATGTATATGAACTGACTGACAACAATACAAGTTGACAGACACAGGACAGTAATAAAATCAACACTATCAATACTTGTACCTTGGCTGGAGGTCAGGTCGACACTGTGTCTAACCTATGAGCAAATTGTCAGACAGTGTGTCCATCAACTACTTGGCCGTGTGTTGTTCACTCACTCACTCACCTTTCATGATGGCGCCCTTCATACAGGAGGTGGTGGTGTTGATGTCCATCAGGTAGTCGTCCTTCAGACAGTACTCAAGGAGTGTGTTGCTCACTCACTCACTCACCTTTCATGATGGCGCCCTTCATACAGGAGGTGGTGGTGTTGATGTCCATCAGGTAGTCGTCCTTCAGACAGTACTCAAGGAGTGTGTTGCTCACTCACTCACTCACCTTTCATGATGGCGCCCTTCATACTGGAGGTGGTGGTGTTGATTTCCATCAGGTAGTCGTCCTTCAGACAGTACTCAAGGAGCGGCCGTGTGTTGCTCAGACACTGGATCACTGAGTTCATAAAACACTGAAATACAACACACAGTAATGTAGCGCTGATGTATCAAATTGGTCAAACCCTGAACTGATTCTCAAAAGCAAATGTTCACAAACTCACTTACCTTGCAAATACATTTACCTTTTGATCAAGACATTAGTGACTCAGTGAATGAGACTAACTTTTAGAACATGTTAACATCTGTGACTATGGTAACCAAGACAGTACCGGAAACATAAAAATTGCTCTCTCTTCAAGTGACAAGTTGTGAGATGATAAAAACCCTTTCACTTCCACACATCTACTTAGATAACCACACACAGCACATTCCTATTTCCCATTTCCCACATGTCTGTCATTTACTTGTATGAAGAGCAATTGTCACTTACTTCATGTAATAAACAACACCATTACGGAAGTCTGCTGATTGTAATAATTACCACGTGAAAATGCCGTCAACATGCGTGACTTTGCCTCAAGGTCATCACATCCAAATATAACGCTGGTTATCATGACATCACAATCAAATGACATCACCATTGTCTCCACCACTGAAGCTGATTAGCTGTACTTATTAGATTGACTACCCTGCTTATCACACTTCTCAAATCATCAAGAAGGACTGACTGACTGAGTTTGGTTTTACACCGCTTTAAGCAATATTCCAGCAACATCACGGCGGGGGACACCAGAAATGGGCTTCACACATTGTGCCCATGTGGGGATTCGAACCCGGGTCTATAGGGTGACGAGCCAACGCTTTAACCATTAGGCTACCCCACCGCCCCATCAAGAAGGAAAATGTACATCTCAATCTTTAATTCCATCTCACTGGCCTCCTGTATGCACTAAATATTTTGCCTGTAAATCATATTCTGTCATTCACCTGATGAAGGGGAAAGAAGTAGCTCAGAAACATTGTGTTGTAAATAATAAAAAAGTTGTAAATCCATACAATACTTTGTTATGAAATCTGTTCTGATTGGGGATAACATGCACGAAGTCAAGAAACACATGAATGACAAGGGCCATAACTCTGTCCGTGACATTCATGTCCCGCAAACATATACCACATTTGGTTTCCCTATCTATAAAGGTTACTGAGAAAATGTCCCCATCATCTCGGACAGAGCTCAAACCTATATACCCCGCCCACTTCGTGGCAGCAGATAATAATGAAAGGCAAGCTGTCAATATTATTATTAAGCAAAAAGTAAATTTATTTAGGTCTTCTGATATGTTGCAGTTTGCTTATGACAAAAGTAACAAAAGGACGATGGTAGCTCTTCACTAGATTCTTCAAGATATTGTATATTACATTTTTTCAGTGTACATTAGAAACTGATGAAAATATGAACAAACTGACACCATTACTCAAACAATTGCAACCTTTTAAATTATGATGTTTCTCAATAGACAAACATTTGTGGTTAAGACATTTCTGATTTTATGCTAAACTGTAAACAGATGGTTAACATTAACTTTCCCAATGGCTCTACAGAAATCTCACAGAATTCACACTAATACCAATCTTTCTTCCACTCATCAGAGCATTCGGAATAGATAATCAAAGTTATTAATTAACAAACAGTTCAATACTCTAAATTGTGAAAGCACAATTATCACTGGTTTTATACAACACTAATAATAGTATAGATCCATCCTTGGTGAATGAGTGAGTTTACACCACACTCAGCAATATTTCAGCTGTATGGCATCGGTCTGTAAATAAAGGAGTCTGGACCAGACAATCCAGTGATCAACAGCATGAGCATCCATTTATGTAATTGGGATACACTAACATGAGTCAACCAAGTCCTGATCCTGTTAGTCGCCTCTTACGACAAGCATGGGTTTCTGAAGATCAGTTCTAACCCGGATCTTCACGGGTCTCCAACCCAGGTATCCTGTACTTCATCTACAGGAAATCTTGGTCTGCCCTCACTCCCCTTCAGCTGCACTCACTCCCCTTCAGCTGCACTCACTCCCCTTCAGACATCAGAATCTTACTTTAAGTTCATCACTGTTCTAATGTGCCAATGACAATCTTACACAAGAACTTCAAAAAAACATCACAAAAGCTCTCAAAACGGAAGGAAAATCAATATGAGATTGCCCCCCAATAATGCTATCCGCTCCACCACCTGTATTTACACCTGAACATCGTACAACACAATGTTTCATCACTCACGGAAATCAAACAAACCTCCGCACCAGTGAACCTCGTGGGACAACCTGGATACATGCAACACCTGTGTCCTCCAGCAACGCTCTCCTCCCAGAAATCAATACCACTATCCCTCATGTACACTTCATAGCGGACCTATTACTCCTGTAAAAAGCAATCCAATTTCTCTGGTCTCTAATAACCAATTTTCCACAGGCACCAGGACAAATACTCTCATCTTCTCACTGAGCTCATCTGCTGGCTCCCTACAGTGAAGCTTGCAATTACATTTCATGGTAATAGTGAATCTATCATGCTATTTACAGAGGTCCTGTGAAGTGGGCAATGTTTGGAGTTGTTTAATGGGAAGGAAATTCCTTCACTAGTCTTCATTGTTTAAAGCATGAAAAATCTTTGTCACAAGTCATAACCTAGCACAATGTGTAGGGCTGCGCAATATAACCGGTTTACTCGTATTTACCGGTTCAGACATGAAAACGATACGTATTGTGATACGCTGATCGAAAACCGGTATTTTGACATGCATTCAGAAAACTTCGTAACACTCGGAAATCTTCGGATATTTCCGTTTTTTGAATTGTTCTTTTCCCTGTTTCATTAGTGCCAAATGTTACTTACATTTTTATTTTGTCATCATTAAAAGTTTTTATAAAAGGTTAATCAATCATAGTGATTTTGTTGTGTTTTTGCTTTATAATCAAGCATTAGCTCGATTATAAGTAGTTTTTGTTAAAAAAATCATCCTTGCAATATATTGCAATACATATCGCAATATATGCTTCCGCATCGCAATATGAAAATTCTCTGCAATAACCACCCCTAACAATGTGTCCTTGGTGCTCAAATGTTTTCAACAGGTTGAAATTTACTTCCTCAAATGTTCAGAATAACATGATTTAACCAAAGATCATCTAAATTTGATGGACAATTCAAAACAGAGTTCCTCTTGAAATGTGGGTTGCCTGTGGCGTTCTTTTACCATGGAAATTCAGAGATATCAACGGGTTGTCTCATTTAGATTTCTGTTTGAAAACATTATATACAATTTGGATGGGGTCTTCAGCATTGAAGAACAAGAGTTATCAGAAGATGACATATCCCCCCGGCCCCCACATATTGAAAGAACAAATCATCTGACAGTTACTTAATTACTTGATTTTTTTTAGACTAAGTCCGAATCGTTTCCATGGAAACCGGGAAAATATCATCTGCACTCTATCATCTGCTGTGACCCCCAATGATGGGATGCAATCCCTGTCATCTGCTGTGACCCCCCATGATGGGATGCAATCCCTGTCATCTGCTGTGACCCCCCATGATAGGATGCAATCCCTGTCATCTGCTGTGAGAGTGACCCCCCATGATGGGATGCAATCCCTGTCATCTGCTGTGAGAGTGACCCCCCATGATGGGATGCAATCCCTGTCACCTGCTGTGAGAGTGACCCCCCATGATAGGATGCAATCCCTGTCATCTGCTGTGAGAGTGACCCCCCATGATGGGATGCAATCCCTGTCATCTGCTGTGACCCCCCATGATGGGATGCAGTCCCTGTCATCTGATGTGACCCCGATGATGGGATGCACGCTATCATCTGCTGTGACCCCATATGATGGGATGCAATCCCTGTCATCTGCTGTGACACCCCATGATGGGATGCAATCCCTGTCATCTGCTGTGACCCCCCATGATGGGATGCAATCCCTGTCATCTGCTGTGACACCCCATGATGGGATGTAATCCTTGTCATCTGCTGTGACACCCCATGATGGGATGCAATCCCTGTCATCTGCTGTGACCCCCCATGATAGGATGCAATCCCTGTCATCTGCTGTGACACCCCATGATGAGATGCAATCCCTGTCATCTGCTGTGACCCCCTGTCATGATAGGATGCAATCCCTGTCATCTGCTGTGAGAGTGACCCCCCATGATGGGATGCAATCCCTGTCATCTGCTGTGAGAGTGACCCCCCATGATAGGATGCAATCCCTGTCATCTGCTGTGAGAGTGACCCCCCATGATGGGATGCAATCCCTGTCATCTGCTGTGAGAGTGACCCCCCATGATGGGATGCAATCCCTGTCATCTGCTGTGACCCCCCATGATGGGATGCAGTTCCTGTCATCTGATGTGACCCCCCATGATGGGATGCAGTCCCTGTCATCTGATGTGACCCCGATGATGGGATGCACGCTATCATCTGCTGTGACCCCCCCCATATGATGGGATGCAATCCCTGTCATCTGCTGTGACCCCCCATGATGGGATGCAGTCCCTGTCATCTGATGTGACCCCGATGATGGGATGCACGCTATCATCTGCTGTGACCCCCCACCATATGATGGGATGCAATCCCTGTCATCTGCTGTAAACCTCCCCCCCATATGATGGGATGCAATCCCTGTCACCTGCTGTGACCCCCCTGATGGGATGCAATCCCTGTCACCTGCTGTGACCCCCCGTGATTGGATGCAATCCCTGTCATCTGCTGTGACCCCCCTGATGGGATGCAATCCCTGTCACCTGCTGTGACCCCCCTGATTGGATGCAATCCCTGTCACCTGCTGTGACCCCCCGTGATTGGATGCAATCCCTGTCACCTGCTGTGACCCCCATGATGGGATGCAATCCCTGTCACCTGCTGTGACCCCCCGTGATTGGATGCAATCCCTGTCACCTGCTGTGACCCCCGTGATTGGATGCAATCCCTGTCACCTGCTGTGACCCCCCCCCATGATGGGATGCAATCCCTGTCACCTGCTGTGACCCCCATGATGGGATGCAATCCCTGTCACCTGCTGTGACCCCATGATGGGATGCAATCCCTGTCACCTGCTGTGACCCCCCGTGATTGGATGCAATCCCTGTCACCTGCTGTGACCCCCCGTGATTGGATGCAATCCCTGTCATCTGCTGTGACCCCCATGATGGGATGCAATCCCTGTCACCTGCTGTGACCCCCCATGATGGGATGCAATCCCTGTCACCTGCTGTGACCCCCCTGATGGGATGCAATCCCTGTCACCTGCTGTGACCCCCCATGATGGGATGCAATCCCTGACACCTGCTGTGACCCCCCATGATGGGATGCAATCCCTGTCACCTGCTGTGACCCCCCATGATGGGATGCAATCCCTGTCATCTGCTGTGACCCCCATGATGGGATGCAATCCCTGTCACCTGCTGTGACCCCCCATGATGGGATGTAATCCCTGTCATCTGCTGTGACCCCCCATGATGGGATGCAATCCCTGGCACCTGCTGTGATCCCCCATGATGGGATGCAATCCCTGTCACCTGCTGTGACCCCCCATGATGGGATGCAATCCCTGTCACCTGCTGTGACCCCCCATGATGGGATGTAATCCCTGTCATCTGCTGTGACCCCCATGATGGGATGCAATCCCTGTCACCTGCTGTGACCCCCCATGATGGGATCCAATCCCTGTCACCTGCTGTGACCCCCCATGATGGGATGCAATCCCTGTCACCTGCTGTGACACCCCATGATGGGATGCATAACAACAACAAGAATGCATAACAACAAGAAGAATTCCAACATTTGGGAATACAAACTCTAAAATTGATTTCTCTGGTTATATCAAAAGATACAAATAGCATATCTAATGTTCATCGTGCACACATATACTCAGGCAAATTAATTTGCTAAAAACTTACCGTATTGCCAAGATTACGAAGACCAACTTTCCCACCATTAGCGTTTTTAGACAAGGCTCCCTGAAAAGTAGGAACATGGATGTGTCATTAAGACATCAGAATTATACAGATTGTCTTCTGGTAAACAGTACTTTTCAAATGTTAATTTCCTGCATGAATATACCAGGTATATGTTCATCAAGCTTGGCGTTGTTGATCACACAGCGGGCCTCCATTGCACTTATTAGATTGACATGATGCTGCTGACATAAAACATCCAATCCCATCATGCAACTCAAACCACAGACCATTAAGATAAACATTAGCTTTCAAACATGTATCCTGCATGAGTGAGTAAGTGAGTTTGGTTTTACGCCGCTTTTGGCAATATTCCAGCAATATCACGGCGGGAGACACCAGAAATGGGCTTCACACATTGTACCCATGTGGGGAATTGAACCCGGGTCTTCAGCGTGACGAGCGAATGCCTTAACCACTAGGCTACCCCACCACCCCTACCCTGTATGAACATACCAGGTATATGTTAAGGTTATAATCACCGAGTTCATCAAGTTTGGTGTGGTCAATCACACAGATGACCTCACATGCTGTGGCCGATATAAACTGTCCAATCCCATCATGCAACTCAAACCACAGACCATTATGATCTGGAGCTGTACACCTTGTCCAACAGAACAAATAGGGTAACCATGGTAACCAGCAAGCTGACAGGGTCAGGATTTCATCTGTAGGATTACTCTACATCTTGCTACACAAGACCAAGACTAAATTACTACAGGTTACACAACCCTATAAGTCCCACGCTATACAGATACCGTTGTAGGTTGTACAAGATAAATACAGACATCTGATTGGGAATTGTTTAACCAATTCCCTGGCCAAAACTATTAAGATACATGTATGGTCTTGCATATCTGTAGACACATAAAAGAATTTTTCCTATTCTTGAAAAAATACAAGCGGCAGATCCGTAAAACAAGAAATAAAATTGGTCTGTCCTTAACTTAAAGAGCATCTTTAGACATAAAAGGAAGAATGGCTGCATTATGATATGTAACCATGGCATCTTATCAAACAATCTATCCCATGACACAGGAAATAACCCATTGCCCGACGCCCGAGTCCAGTGTCTTTTCTGTCGGGCAAGCAAATTTGTATATCACACTGTACCGGTGTCCAGTTGACTTCACAATGTTAATTATGTTGTTTATTTTTAAAAATCAACAAGAAAATCCGCCAGTATAGTGGACAAATTATCAGGGCAAGTGATTTTACTTGTGCCACTGTACCAGAGTACACTAGCAATTTTAAAGTTATTTCCAGCCCTGCTGACAAATAATATTCGGATGACAGTATCCGGGTCTACCTCAGAGCCCACTAGACCCAAGTACCCAAGTTACCCGTACAAGCACTCATCATGCTCATGGTTAGATCCGGATACCGCCGGATACTCATGGTTGCAAAAGACAACAACATAAATGTCTTCAGCTACTTACAGACAGAGAGCTATTTGAACTTTGCCTTGAGACAGATTTGGTGGCGGAAGGACTATCACGAGCATCAGTGCTGTATCTTCTTGTTGGAGTTGATGCACGTTCCCGTACAGGGCTTGTATCATGTGACACATTCCTCGACAAAGTCCGTGGCACATATCCAGATGAATTCAAATTCTCCCGATCAACAGAAAGTGAAGTCCGACTTGCTCTTGATGATGTCCGACTCCGCCCCGGAAGTGAAGTCCTCATCACGATAATAGCTGCTACGTCTGGGAGTTGTGCCGTAAGTGCTTGACGTATAGTCCCTTTCATTACGAGCATTATATTTACTTGTCTCACCAATATGCAAGTTTTCTATATCATTCAGATTGGCCAAGCTGGCAGACCTCCTTCCAGACAATCGACTCGTTGTCCCGAACTCATGGTTGGAATACCCAGTCCTCCGGTTCGACAGCGTACCATACGAGTAGTCGTTATCCCAAGTAGTGCTGGGTGAATAATCAGCTTTGAGTGGACCATTCCGTGTGCTGGAAGGGGTTCGAGTTCGTACACTAAATTCCGACAATTTTCTTCCGGAGGAATCAAGTGGTCCTGGACCGGCTGGAAGACGTCTCCTGTAGTTGGATGACGATGAGGAGTCAAGGTTGAATGATGATGTGCTGTATTTGCGGGTGGTGCTTGGTGTCCTGGTGTAGTTGGAGGAGGAAGAGGAGGAGGAGGGACGGTAGGCAGAGGCGTACATGGAGACATATCCCTTGTTGGACACGCTCGGCATCCTGTCAACCAGAACGGAGGAACGCATTGGACACCTCAGCAAGAGCAGCCTGTGTGACTGACTGGGTGGAGGCTCGTACTGGCAAAGGTACTACATCCTATCAAGATTCTCTCATCAGTTCATCTGGAAAGGAAATAAATATTTCTTAGATATCTTTAAAATAGGTTACCCAGGGATTGGGAAAGGGCCATTGGCCATTTTGCACATTAGAATAAAAAATGGCCCATTAAAATTTTGAAGTTTACTATTGATACAAGGGCAGAGGCCCATTCTAAATTCAGAAAATAGCTAATAATTCTGAAAATGGCCCATTGTCAAAGTTCTCTATCCCAATCCCTGTAGGTTGAGTATTTTTTAAATCTTAAGCTATGTACACTAATATAATGACATTTACTATGATCCATTAACTATTGGATTGATAATCTTTATGGAAGGTCAGTAAATGCATCACAAATATCATCGAAAAGGGGGCAGTCTCCTACATGTCAAAATACCTCTAAACAATGACAGAGGTGATGTTTATTAATACCTAACACAACAATTTGAATTTGTTAAAATAGATCCAGTGGTAGTGAAACAGCATATTTCAAACATCAGAGGAACAAAAACATTTAACAATAGTTACTTGGCAATTTTAATACCCTTATACACACTGCTGTTTTTTTGTACAACCAATTTCTTACATAATCCATCCATGTTGACATGCATAAATTTTGCAACTATATTAAAGAGGGTACATATACCGAATAACTAATGGTTAACCTAGAAGCCAGTCAAGGGGTGTCTGTAGGAGCATGCTGGAGCTGGTCTTGTGGTTAACCTAGAAGCCAGTCAAGGGGTGTCTGTAGGAGCATGCTGGAGCTGGTCTTATGGTTAACCTAGAAGCCAGTCAAGGGGTGTCTGTAGGAGCATGCTGGAGCTGGTCTTATGGTTAACCTAGAAGCCAGTCAAGGGGTCTGTAGGAGCATGCTGGAGCTGGTCTTATGGTTAACCTAGAAGCCAGTCAAGGGGTGTCTGTAGGAGCATGCTGGAGCTGGTCTTATGGTTAACCTAGAAGCCAGTCAAGGGTTGTCTGTAGGAGCATGCTGGAGCTGGTCTTATGGTTAACCTAGAAGCCAGTGAAGGTGTGTCTGTAGGAGCATGCTGGAGCTGGTCTTATAGCTAATCTAGAAGCCAGTCAAGGGGTGTCTGTAAGAGCATGCTGGAGCTGGTCTTATAGCTAATCTAGAAGCCAGTCAAGGGGTGTCTGTAAGAGCATGCTGGAGCTGGTCTTATAGCTAATCTAGAAGCCAGTCAAGGGGTGTCCGTAGGAGCATGCTGGAGCTGGTCTTGTGGTTAACCTAGAAGCCAGTCAAGGGGTGTCTGTAGGAGCATGCTGGAGCTGGTCTTGTGGTTAACCTAGAAGCCAGTCAAGGGGTGTCTGTAGGAGCATGCTGGAGCTGGTCTTATGGTTAACCTAGAAGCCAGTCAAGGGGTGTCTGTAGGAGCATGCTGGAGCTGGTCTTATAGCTAATCTAGAAGCCAGTCAAGGGGTGTCTGTAAGAGCATGCTGGAGCTGGTCTTATAGCTAATCTAGAAGCCAGTCAAGGGGTGTCTGTAGGAGCATGCTGGAGCTGGTCTTATGGTTAACCTAGAAGCCAGTCAAGGGGTGTCTGTAATAGCATGCTGGAGCTGGTCTTATGGCTCATCTAGAAGCCAGTCAAGGGGTGTCTGTAAGAGCATGCTGGAACTGGTCTTATGGTTAATCTAGAAGCCAGTCAAGGGGTGTCTGTAGGAGCATGCTGGAGCTGGTCTTATGGTTAACCTAGAAGCCAGTCAAGGGTTGTCTGTAGGAGCATGTTGGAGCTGGTCTTATGGTCAACCTAGAAGCCAGTCAAGGGGTGTCTGTAGGAGCATGCTGGAGCTGGTCTTATGGTTAACCTAGAAGCCAGTCAAGGGGTGTCAGTAGGAGCATGCTGGAGCTGGGTATTTGGTAGCGCCTTTCGAGATAACAAAGATCGCTGAAAACATTGAAATCTATGATCCATAAACACTCGAAAACTTTGTGTGCTGGCAATTAGCTGCCTGATTCTGAGGGTGTGGGTTCGAATCCCGGATGGGGCTCAACCCCCTAAAAAGTACTAGAATCTGTGCTTTACTGAGAAAGTGTAATCCCAAATATAACATATTTTACATTTGACCACTTTCTAAAATGGCATTGTGTATTTTATAGTAGAGTAGGCCCTTCAATATGTTTACTGTGTCCAAGGCAGAATCAACCACAGGGCCTATTCTGTCATTTGACATACTATGATTTTGTTATGTTCAAAGGTATTGTACATAATGAAAGGTCTCAACTAGATGGATGTCAACTTTTGTTCAATCATTAGCAAATTCAAGCTATGCGGCAGCTGTCTAAATAATTGAGTCTGGACCAGACAATCCAGTGATCATCATTATGACCATAGATCTACACAACTGGGATACAATGACATATGTCAACCAAGTCAGAGAGCCTGACCAACTGATCCCGTTAGTCGTCTCTTACAACAAGCTGAAAACCAATCTAAACCCAGATCTTCACGGGTCCAATCATTCAAGTGTCTCAAACTGACTGTAACAGAGCTCCAAAGAAGCTGAGTATTCAGGTAAAATTTATAAATGGTATTATTATAATTATATTGTGCATACGTACAATACATGACAAAATTCATTGACCTAACAGTGTAACAACACAGCATGTATTTACCCATAGTCAATTGATTACTACTACTACCAGTATTTACTTACTGACTTGAGTGCAGGCACTTGAACTATGCTGCACTGAATAACACAGAGATGTGCAGCATCCCACTTAATGTAACCAGACATGCAACGTGGTTATGGGGTTACGCGACATGTGACTCACCAGGGACAGCACATGAACAGTTTAATTACATATCACCTGAAACAGCTCGGAAGTAGAACCAGTTTTATATAAAGTCCACATCTGAAACCCTGGCAGCTAGATCCATGAGAGGTGAGGTGAAATGTGGTTAAACGTCGTACTTCAGAATATTTCGCTCATATGACAATAAGCATGCGTGTGTATGTGCTTTTACTGTCTATAACATCTGACAATCCTAGATTACTGGAGTCTTGAGACTCCTGCTTATTATATTTGTCAAGATTTGTTTCTCTTATTTATCTATTTTCTTCTGTAAAATACTTTGGCATTACTGACAAGATGTAAGCCAAATACAAAACAATCACCCAATATGAACAATATACAGTACAACCAGAAATTATTGAGAATTTAAGATTGTAAATTTTTTTTCACTCATTACTCGTGTATTAAATGTGAATATTAGCAGAACATAACTCCAGATTCAAAGACAGGTGAACAGTTAGTATTTTGTCAAGTCACCATGGGCAGCAATGCAGGCTTCAATGCGGCGGGGCATACTACATCATCAAAGAAGTTAGAAAGTCGTGGTCCATGCTGTCCCAATATCGGACCACCTCTTCTTTCATATAAGTAATATTTGTCAGATTTTTCTTATTTGCACTTTCATAAGTCTCCAAACATTTTCTATTGGATTTAGGTCAGGGCTATAGCTTGGCCAATCTAATAAGGTCATATTTTGGGTCCGAAACCAGGCCTATGAATGCTTTGAACGATGTTTTGGGCCGTTGTCTTGCTGGAAAATCCAAACATTTCCATAGAACACGTCAGCAGATGGAAGTAAATGTCCCTCGAGAATATCTGTGTACCGCTCACTGTTCATATTCCCTTCAAATACACAGAGGGGCTTGCCCCATACAGAGATATGCCACCCCACACGTTAAATTTCGGACTGTACTTTGGGCGCTGATACAGAGGTTTTTCAGTTTGTTTGGTCCAGAATTTCAGTGTATTAGGAAACAGCCACACAGAACTTTCATCTGAGAAAATCACATTGTCCCAGTTAAAATTTCTATGCTGTAAGCACCAGTTCAACCTTCACTCCTTTTGTTCAGGTTTCATGATCGGTGATGGAATTCCTTGACTTTTCTGCCAACCCATTTCATGCAGCTAAGTTCTAATTGTCTCCTTACGGACAGCCACAGTTCCTCTATCAATCATATCCAGCCTTATGTTTTCTAAACTCCTTCGTTTGTTTTTAGAAACAAGAATACCATGCCGCCTCCTGTCCCCGGCAGTAAATTTTCTGGCCCTACCTGCGTCTCCCTGGTGCTCAATGCCATATCCATTTGCAATATTTTTTCAAAACACGATAAACAGTGGACAAAGGGATGCCTGTTCTACTTGAAATCACTTTAGCTGATCTGATGTCCTTGTTATAATACTCTAAAATCAACTTCCTCTTCTCTAAATCATCCATACTGAGGAGCACTGAAACTGTCGTCTGCTAGCAAGTAAACAAAGGGGGATACTCTTCACAAACTAATGAAAAAGGATTAACAGAGTTGTCTCTCTTGAATGAAACAAAGCACTTGATAGCTGATTAAGGTTGTTTATACTAGAAATCTGATTAAACATATTCTTAAAATTCTCAATAATTTCTGGTCATACTATACCGACAATGAACTTTTGGCCAAACATATTGCAAAACAACGAACAAAACAGATATAGAGCACAATTTGGGTATATAATCAAAAATGTCTGTTGTGCTGAGACAATTATTACAATACAAATGAACTTACTTCCTACACATTTTATTACATTTTCAGTTCGGATGAAGTTTTGGAAAAAGAACCTATAATGCTGATGATAATTTCATCACTTATTTTCAACACTGTTGTTGTGTTAAACATTATTTCATAAGTTTGTTGAGCAAACAAAACTCACCTTTAAACAAGAAATCATTGTCCAAAACATCACTTTGATAAACACAAAATCATTTACTGTCACAAGCTGCTAACATGCTGTCTGTTACCAAGTCATGAGGAAACTAGTAAACAATCTCACTTTAGGTGTGGCCTTGTTTCATCTGCCTGGTCACATGACATACCTGGCTAATCAGGACGTAGATCACAATTCATTTCAGCTCCCACCCACCCCCCTAGGTTTCGCATTCTTTCAAGTCAAAAATAAGTGTACGGGATGCAAATATTTTTGACATGAACATTTCAAGGGCATTTAAGGAAGTACAAAGTTCAATCCCTTTTCAAACATGCTAGCATTTTGTTCATGTTGTCTATCTGATCTGGGGAAGTGAGCTGGCCTAACTGTAAAACTATTACTTGGTACAAGTACACACCATTGTCATACAATTGGTAAAGCCCATTTCTGCTGTCTCTTCAGTGCAGTTGCTCCAGTTTGTCTGGATGTAGATGAAAACAATATACATTATATGATTTAAAACTGGGAATTAACCAAAATGATTCTGGATTTAAGTGAGTGAGCAAGTACCGTTAGGTGAATGAGTTAAACTTCCAAATCACATTATCAGTATTTTTCCATACTATGACTTAAATTAGATAACATCCTGTTCAGAAAGTATCGTAAACATGGTAAAGCAAAGACACAACAAACATTTGCCTACACACCAGCACCAATCAAAGGCACATAACCATATTTGGTACCATGCTTAGTAACCCAACAGGATTTACATCATCCCTCTTGTTCTAAGCCATTGTTTTTTAAGCTAAGCCAAAACAACTGACTGACTGAGTTTCGTTTTACGCCGCTTTTAGCAATATTCCAGCAATATCATGGCGGGGGACACCAGAAATGGGCTTAACACATTGTGCCCATGTGGGGAATCGAACCCGGGTCTTCGGCGTGACGAGCCAACGCTTTAACCACTAGGCTACCCCACCGCCCCCCAAAACAACAATATTTGTATCAAATAGAGCAAGATGCTGATAACCATGTGCTGTCTATACAGGGACCAATGTGGAAACAATTTTATCATATCAATAGAACTATGGTTTATCAGTTAACAGTTATCACTGGATAAAACATAAAATTGAATAATAGTAATGAAATACACAATAAATAACAAAGCTTAGATCTAAACACAGTTCCCTTGTCACTTTATCCAAATCATTATGACAATGGGACAAACTACGGATTTGCGAAGTCAATAGTGACATACTAATTACTATTTCCAGCATTATCAAGATAATGGCAATGTTTTTACTCAAGGATACAAATGTTAAAAACTAAATATTTGCACGTAAAATATGAACACTCTTCCTCATTCCAAGCTGGGCAGTACTCATTTCCAGCAGGGCGTTGGGGGAGCCGAGTCACTCATCCCTGACAAGGTTACATCTCTTCCTGACAAGGTTACATACGAATCCCATTTCAGGTGTTCCCTGCCATATTACTGCAATATTCTTAAAAGAGTCGTAAAACCATGCTCTCACTACTTTACACCTGTTGTTTGGATTAAAAATGAATAATAAACCTCATCACATACAGACTGTCACATATAATTTCAAAAACTACATGCTGTATGATCTTATTTGATTATTAATAATTGATTTGGGTGCACTTATTGGAACATGATATTCCATACAGCAAACATGTTTTCTTATCTTTACATCGAAAATGCGACCTGTAAACACACATCTTATCTTATATTACAATGTAACTTGTAAGTACTAAGTAGGTACATTTCACCTGGCTGCTGGGACCTTTATGTTTGAAATCTGACTGAAATACATATCCCTCAATGCCATCTTCAGTGAACATGAAGAAAATCCAAACACTCAAGGGTCACATATCCAGTCATGTACACACTATAGGCTATTCTGTTTTGACATCCTTTCAAACATCCCATTGTTTAAGTGAAATATTAAGAGTGTTCTGAAGAACAGTTTTATAATAGTCATTGTTATCAATATCATCTTTCAATTACTGTGAAGTTGCTCTAAATATTGTGCCAATTGGCCAATTCGAGGCAGTGCATATATATCAGGGAGGTGTGGGCAACGGTTATACGAAGGCCTATATTTGACATTGGCACTGACAGTTCTAACAATCCGTGTTCGAAGTTGAAATGTTTACAAATGTAAATACAGTCTAAGGCATGAAACGGAGTGTTTAAAGTAGCAAATGTCGAGATTCAAAATTCTTTGAAGTGGAACAAGGTTGTGAGGTGCACAAAACCACTTGCATTCCATGTTTGATTCGGTGCCAAATGTCAGAATTCGCTACCACTTCTCTGCACTCAACAAGTCGTTTGACGTTTCTTCAAATATATCAACAGCTACGGCCTAGAAACGAACCACAAGACCAATATCTTTTCATCTTAAACGCAATACAAATAAAAATCGAGACTACTGTTATATTTAAAAGCAGACATGATCGTTACTTACTAACAATTTTGGGTCGAATTCCATGTACCGAGTCCTTCTCTGTCAGTAATCTAACACCATCCCCGAGTGGACTACTTCCCTACAACTAATGATTTATCGGAATATTCTAGACGGTAAGTTTATATCATAGAACCATAGAACATATTTTGGCTCTAATTATCATTGAATATATTATCTAATACATACACAATGATCATTGTTGAATTTCTTTTGACATTATAGCTTATAAGACAGACATAATTTATAAATAATATATCAACGGTCAATAGTGGTTACGCAGATAGCATTTTATGCGGCCATTTTGAATTTCTCCGCAGAATATTTTTCAAAGTAGCTATGGCAACGAGTTCCATAGGTTACAAATGAAAATTAATAACTTATCTATTCGAGTATATACAAATGGCATTTCATTTCACAATTGGGCGAAAATTAACTGTTATACCTTGAGTTTGATATCCATAGATTTATACTTCAATACAAATTTCAACCAATCCCTTTACTCGTATAATTAACTGCAATAAGGGAAAAGACGATTATTTTAAATATTTTCTTATATTGTAGAAGAGACCATATAATATCTGTTATATGGTCTCTGATTGCAGTTGAACCACAATAATCATAACGAAATGAACGTAAAATTATTGTATGTCGCGGGTCCTGGCCGCTGATTAATCGGACTGAGGCGTGGTTGATTAAAATCTGTTTATTCTGTAAAATACACATGAACATCAATATGATAAGATGTATGGCCGAGGGGTGTATCAACTCACCTCGGCCGTGGCGTGACATGAAGTCGCAAATATGAAAATTGCACGAATTTTACCATTTATAAAATGGTCTTTATAGCATTTTATGAAATATTGCACTTTGAATATTATGAGCAAAATTAAAGGAAGCAGACATCACTCACACTTACTTACGTGCTGGTGCCAGTGTTTAATTAGTAATTTCGTGCAACGCGATGCCTTATTATAGAAATATTATAGATATTATAAATACTATGATATCGCGCACCTTTACGATAATACGTTTAGAGGATGACAAAGAAAGTAGACAGAAAAGGTACATACCTGTAAAATACACATGAACATCAATATAATATGATGTATGGCCGAGGGGTGTATCAACTCACCTCGGCCGTGGCGTGACATGAAGTGGCAAATATGAAGATGCCTACGTCACGGAACAGGTAATGCACGAGATGTCACGGAACAGGTAATGCACGAGATACTACTGGTATTACAACCAGAGTAAGAGTGATAGAAGAAGCGCTCGTAAATGAGCAGAGAGGAATAACGTAAGAGATACGCAAATGTATGGGGAAATACATCCGGCGACATCCTCCCCTCCTTTGAGAAATGTTGTCCTCAACATTTAAATGCAGCAACACATTAAAACTGAACAAAACACAAACTTATACAACTAATTACACCTTGAGCGCACAAAATGACAACTCATACAAACACTTCAAAATCCAAGGTACCAGCAACCGCTGGAAAAGTATCAACCAACCTGACCTCTTCAGCTGACAAAGCAACAGGACGACCTGGGGAAGATGGAAAAGCCTGAATACCAAAATTAGTGACCCAATCGCCACTCCTTAACCAAGCTGGTGGAACTCTGGTACGGGTAGGCCTCCCCATATCAGAGTTCGGCAACGGCTCAGGATCAACTGTGTCTTCAACAACGGTATCAGAAGCGGAAGATGTGTTGAGCCCTTGTTCAGCTGAAGCAGATGACTGTTCCACAGGGGTTGATGGGATTGCTAAACTGCGTGATGTTCCAGGTGATTCTGTGAAAGCTGGAGATGAATCTTGAAATCCATATACAGTTCCAACTGTTTCCAACGTAGAATCTCCAGTTCCTGTTACGTCTTGCGCTTCAAATGCATCGGTAGCATGTACTGTCGATGCCTCCGGTATAGGAGTGGCTGGTAGCATCACCATCATCTCGCAAACACTTCCTTCATCCGAATCGTTCAGTTCTTGGAATTCCATATTTTTCAAGGACATTGACTTTCTCGTTCCTGTTCTTTTGTTTGTCTGTGGCGCTAATGGTTTAACTGGAACTGACACAATAGGAAGAAGCATATTCCCCGGTGCAAAGTCTTCTTAGAACCTTTGCCATCTTCCTGCTGCACAGTGAAAACTGGGATCTCTTCATTCGGTTGATTAACTACAGTGAATACTTCCCGTCCCCACTTGTTTGCAAGCTTGTGTTTTCCAGTGAGTCCTACTAACCGAATGAGAACTCGGTCACCACGTTGAAGAGTTGAGGCGCGCACCTTTGTGTCGTATCTCTGCTTGTGTCGTCGGCCTGCCTTACGGGCTTCCCTTGACGCACTTTCGTAAGCAAAGTTCAATCGTTTCCTCAGATTATTAACGTACTCCGTTTTTGTGTGATCACCATGAGTGTTGTCTATTCCCAGGAATGCATCAACTGGCAGTCGTGGATGTCGACCAAACATCAGGTAGAAAGGTGAAAATCCTGTACTATCATGTTTCGTGGCATTGTAGGCATGTACCAGCGGAGATACATAACTCTTCCAATCAGCTTTCCTGTCATCCTCGAGAGTTCCAAGCATGTTGAGAAGTGTCTGATTGAATCGCTCACACATTCCATTACCTTGGGGATGATATGGTGTTGTTCGAGTTTTCTGTATTCCAGTGATATGGCAAAGCTCCTTGATAATGTTGCCTACGAAGTTTCTACCTTGATCGCTGTGTAGTTTGGCAGGAAATCCGTAATGAACCAGGAAATTATCGAAGAGAACTCTTGCTGTTGTCTTGGCGGATTGGTTCTTAGTAGGAATGGCAATGGCGTAACGTGTAAAATGATCAGTGATGATCAAAATATTTCCAAAACCTCCTTTCGATTCCTCCAATTGCAAGTAGTCCATGCAAACAAGTTCCATTGGGCACATTGTTTGAATGTTCACTAGTTCAGCAGATCGTTGTGAAGTTGGTGATTTCCTTCTGATACAGTTTCCACATTTTCTGATGTAACTCTCCACATCCTCGTTCATTCCAGGCCAGTAAAACCTGTTGCGGACTAAGTCAAGAGTACGATCTCTGCCTTGATGTCCTGAGTTGTCATGAATTGCCTTGAGAACCGTTTCCCTTTGATGTCTCGGAAGAATGACCTGACTAAGAACTTCATCCTTGACCTTCACACGTCGATAGAGAACTCCATCATTCATAGTCAACTTGTCCCATTCCAGAAGAAGCTTTCCAACTGAAGGAGTCTCAAGTGATCTCAACCTTGAAGTAAGCTTGTGACCTTCCATGAATAGTTGTACAACTCTGGAGATGGTTTGGTCTTTGGATTGTTCCTTCTTCCAACTGTTGATGTTAGCTGACAAAGTTATTGATGGTTCTTTGGGTAAAACTGCATTCTCATCAAAAGATAAACTCTCTGCTTTGTTGCAGGTTGTGGTGTGCACATGACAAATGGCCTTGATGCTCGGGATATCAACGTTCCTGGATGCTTCCTGATAGTCATACCGTCGAGACAAACCATCAGCATCTTGGTTTCTTGTTCCCTGACGATACGTAATCCTGAAGTCATACGCTGATAAAGCCGCCAGCCACCGATGACCTGTAGCATCAAGTTTACGCGAGTTGTGAGGACGTACGTTAAAGGGTTGTTGTCTGTTTTGACTTCAAATTGATTCCCATAGAGATATTCGTGGAATTTATCAGTGACAGCCCACTTAAGAGCTAAGAACTCCAGTTTATAATGCGGGTAGTTCTTCTCACCTTTCCTAAGAGCTCGACTAGCATAGGCAATAACTCTTAATTTCCTTGTTGTTTCTGATAAAGTACGGCCCCTAATCCATCTGCACTTGCATCCGTATGTACCTCAAATGGTTGAGTGTAATCGGCGTAGGCTAGAATCGGTGGTTCTGTCAAGTGTGATATCAAAGATACTTGAAGACATAATAGAGTCCCAGCGCTGGAGCACGAGACTCTTAATCTCGAAATCGTGGGTTCGGGCCCCACGCTACGCCATTTTGTCGCTGGTCCTGGCCGCTGATTAATCGGACTGAGGCGTGGTTGATTAAAATCTGTTTATTCTGTAAAATACACATGAACATCAATATGATAAGATGTATGGCGAGGGTGTATCAACTCACCTCGGCCGTGGCGTGACATGAAGTCGCAAATATGAAAATTGCACGAATTTTACCATTTATAAAATGGTCTTTATAGCATTTTATGAAATATTGCACTTTGAATATTATGAGCAAAATTAAAGGAAGCAGACATCACTCACACTTACTTACGTGCTGGTGCCAGTGTTTAATTAGTAATTTCGTGCAACGCGATGCCTTATTATAGAAATATTATAGATATTATAAATACTATGATATCGCGCACCTTTACGATAATACGTTTAGAGGATGACAAAGAAAGTAGACAGAAAAGGTACATACCTGTAAAATACACATGAACATCAATATAATATGATGTATGGCCGAGGGGTGTATCAACTCACCTCGGCCGTGGCGTGACATGAAGTGGCAAATATGAAGATGCCTACGTCACGGAACAGGTAATGCACGAGATGTCACGGAACAGGTAATGCACGAGATACTACTGGTATTACAACCAGAGTAAGAGTGATAGAAGAAGCGCTCGTAAATGAGCAGAGAGGAATAACGTAAGAGATACGCAAATGTATGGGGAAATACATCCGGCGACATCCTCCCCTCCTTTGAGAAATGTTGTCCTCAACATTTAAATGCAGCAACACATTAAAACTGAACAAAACACAAACTTATACAACTAATTACACCTTGAGCGCACAAAATGACAACTCATACAAACACTTCAAAATCCAAGGTACCAGCAACCGCTGGAAAAGTATCAACCAACCTGACCTCTTCAGCTGACAAAGCAACAGGACGACCTGGGGGAAGATGGAAAAGCCTGAATACCAAAATTAGTGACCCAATCGCCACTCCTTAACCAAGCTGGTGGAACTCTGGTACGGTAGGCCTCCCCATATCAGAGTTCGCAACGGCTCAGGATCAACTGTGTCTTCAACAACGGTATCAGAAGCGGAAGATGTGTTGAGCCCTTGTTCAGCTGAAGCAGATGACTGTTCCACAGGGGTTGATGGGATTGCTAAACTGCGTGATGTTCCAGGTGATTCTGTGAAAGCTGGAGATGAATCTTGAAATCCATATACAGTTCAACTGTTTCCAACGTAGAATCTCCAGTTCCTGTTACGCCTTGGCGCTTCAAATGCATCGGTAGCATGTACTGTCGATGCCTCCGGTATAGGAGTGGCTGGTAGCATCACCATCATCTCGCAAACACTTCCTTCATCCGAATCGTTCAGTTCTTGGAATTCCATATTTTCAAGGACATTGACTTTCTCGTTCCTGTTCTTTGTTTGTCTGTGGCGCTAATGGTTTAACTGGAACTGACACAATAGGAAGAAGCATATTCCGGTGCAAAGTCTTCTTAGAACCTTTGCCATCTTCCTGCTGCACAGTGAAAACTGGGATCTCTTCATTCGGTTGATTAACTACAGTGAATACTTCCCGTCCCCACTTGTTTGCAAGCTTGTGTTTTCCAGTGAGTCCTACTAACCGAATGAGAACTCGGTCACCACGTTGAAGAGTTGAGTAGCGCACCTTTGTGTCGTGATTCTCTGCTTGTGTCGTCGGCCTGCCTTACGGGCTTCCCTTGACGCACTTTCGTAAGCAAAGTTCAATCGTTTCCTCAGATTATTAACGTACTCCGTTTTTGTGTGATCACCATGAGTGTTGTCTATTCCCAGGAATGCATCAACTGGCAGTCGTGGATGTCGACCAAACATCAGGTAGAAAGGTGAAAATCCTGTACTATCATGTTTCGTGGCATTGTAGGCATGTACCAGCGGAGATACATAACTCTTCCAATCAGCTTTCCTGTCATCCTCGAGAGTTCCAAGCATGTTGAGAAGTGTCTGATTGAATCGCTCACACATTCCATTACCTTGGGGATGATATGGTGTTGTTCGAGTTTTCTGTATTCCAGTGATATGGCAAAGCTCCTTGATAATGTTGCCTACGAAGTTTCTACCTTGATCGCTGTGTAGTTTGGCAGGAAATCCGTAATGAACCAGGAAATTATCGAAGAGAACTCTTGCTGTTGTCTTGGCGGATTGGTTCTTAGTAGGAATGGCAATGGCGTAACGTGTAAAATGATCAGTGATGATCAAAATATTTCCAAAACCTCCTTTCGATTCCTCCAATTGCAGTAGTCCATGCAAACAAGTTCCATTGGGCACATTGTTTGAATGTTCACTAGTTCAGCAGATCGTTGTGAAGTTGGTGATTTCCTTCTGATACAGTTTCCACATTTTCTGATGTAACTCTCCACATCCTCGTTCATTCCAGGCCAGTAAAACCTGTTGCGGACTAAGTCAAGAGTACGATCTCTGCCTTGATGTCCTGAGTTGTCATGAATTGCCTTGAGAACCGTTTCCCTTTGATGTCTCGGAAGAATGACCTGACTAAGAACTTCATCCTTGACCTTCACACGTCGATAGAGAACTCCATCATTCATAGTCAACTTGTCCCATTCCAGAAGAAGCTTTCCAACTGAAGGAGTCTCAAGTGATCTCAACCTTGAAGTAAGCTTGTGACCTTCCATGAATAGTTGTACAACTCTGGAGATGGTTTGGTCTTTGGATTGTTCCTTCTTCCAACTGTTGATGTTAGCTGACAAAGTTATTGATGGTTCTTTGGGTAAAACTGCATTCTCATCAAAAGATAAACTCTCTGCTTTGTTGCAGGTTGTGGTGTGCACATGACAAATGGCCTTGATGCTCGGGATATCAACGTTCCTGGATGCTTCCTGATAGTCATACCGTCGAGACAAACCATCAGCATCTTGGTTTCTTGTTCCCTGACGATACGTAATCCTGAAGTCATACGCTGATAAAGCCGCCAGCCACCGATGACCTGTAGCATCAAGTTTCGCAGTTGTGAGGACGTACGTTAAAGGGTTGTTGTCTGTTTTGACTTCAAATTGATTCCCATAGAGATATTCGTGGAATTTATCAGTGACAGCCCACTTAAGAGCTAAGAACTCCAGTTTATGTGCGGGGTAGTTCTTCTCACCTTTCCTAAGAGCTCGACTAGCATAGGCAATAACTCTTAATTTCCCTTGTTGTTTCTGATAAAGTACGGCCCCCAATCCATCTGCACTTGCATCCGTATGTACCTCAAATGGTTGAGTGTAATCGGCGTAGGCTAGAATCGGTGGTTCTGTCAAGTGTGATATCAAAGATACTTGAAGACATAATAGAGTCCCAGCGCTGGAGCACGAGACTCTTAATCTCGGGGTCGTGGGTTCGGGCCCCACGTTGGGCGCCATTTTGTCGCGGGTCCTGGCCGCTGATTAATCGGACTGAGGCGTGGTTGATTAAAATCTGTTTATTCTGTAAAATACACATGAACATCAATATGATAAGATGTATGGCCGAGGGGTGTATCAACTCACCTCGGCCGTGGCGTGACATGAAGTCGCAAATATGAAAATTGCACGAATTTTACCATTTATAAAATGGTCTTTATAGCATTTTATGAAATATTGCACTTTGAATATTATGAGCAAAATTAAAGGAAGCAGACATCACTCACACTTACTTACGTGCTGGTGCCAGTGTTTAATTAGTAATTTCGTGCAACGCGATGCCTTATTATAGAAATATTATAGATATTATAAATACTATGATATCGCGCACCTTTACGATAATACGTTTAGAGGATGACAAAGAAAGTAGACAGAAAAGGTACATACCTGTAAAATACACATGAACATCAATATAATATGATGTATGGCCGAGGGGTGTATCAACTCACCTCGGCCGTGGCGTGACATGAAGTGGCAAATATGAAGATGCCTACGTCACGGAACAGGTAATGCACGAGATGTCACGGAACAGGTAATGCACGAGATACTACTGGTATTACAACCAGAGTAAGAGTGATAGAAGAAGCGCTCGTAAATGAGCAGAGAGGAATAACGTAAGAGATACGCAAATGTATGGGGAAATACATCCGGCGACATCTATTTAAACGTATATGAAAGTAACCTGACGGCAGTTATGGTAAATTATGCTTTCAATAAATTGATTTGGCTTTTGAAAATATTATAAAATTAAGGCATGTTGATCTACATGAATTTCATATGTGTTTTTATAGAACATGTTTCGATATTTGTACCGAATTTCACATACGTCCTACCTAAAAAATGACAACACTCCAGTTAAAAGTACTGAAAATGGATCGACTCTTCAACTCTTTGTGGAATCGGAGCGGTGGGGTTGCATAATAAAAATGTTAGTGAGTGACTGTGTTTTTTGTCTGCTTTAATGGGCGGTATGTAGCCTAATGGTTAGAAGAGCCGAAGACCCGGGTTCGATTCCCACTATGGGCACAATGTGTTAAGTCCATTTCTGGTGTTCCCCGCCGTGATGTTGCTGGAATATAGCTAAAAGCGGCGTAAAACTAAACTCACTCACCCACTCTCTCTCTTTGTGGAATAGGCCGCCTCCGTGGTGTAGTGGTTAGAGCGTCCGCCCGGAGAGCGGAAGGTCTCGGGTACGATCCCCGATCGCGTAATACCAAAAGACCTTAAAATATGGTACTGGTTTGTCCCTGCCTGGCGCTCGGCATTAATGAGTACAACAAGGACTGGTCGGCTCGGAGTCAGAAAAATGTGTCTGAGTGGGATATTCATGCTTCACTGCGACATGGTATCTCAGTGGGCTAGCACTATAAAACCAGCTTAAGTCTGGGCTAGTACAAGCAGCCGCACATACACATACACACGCATGCACGTCGTCATATGAGCGAAATATTCTCAAGTACGACGTTAAACCCAATTTCACCTCACCTCATCTTTGTGTTTATACACACACACACACACACACACACACACAGATACAGGCAAAGACCCGGGCTCGATTCATCAGTGTGTACAATGTGTGAATCCCATTTCTGGTGTCCACTGTCCCCCGCCGTGATATTGCTGGAATATTGCTAAAAGCGGGTTAAAACCAAACTCACTCACTAGTGAGAGTTCGACAGCAACGCAAAGTTGAAGCGTTGTTTCCCTCTAAGTGTCAGAAGCTGCGGTAACGATGGAGACTGAGATGTTTAATTCCTTTTCATTCATTTTTACTTAAACCTAATGTACTTACTACTCAGTCTGCGACAAATAAAGGAAACCGAAAATAAACTAACGAATTGGGGGGAAAGTCACACGCAAGCACATACATACACGCGCGCACAATGAACCGGTTCTCATTCAACTCGATATTCCTTGCTCGCATATTGTATGATTCCTAGTTTTGTAGAAACCGAGAAAGAATGGCGGCGCGAAATTTGCCATCCCACGGCGAGCCTCTCATCATTGAGGAAATACTCCAACTGTTGTCTTCTGATAGTGCATCGATTGATGGAAAATCGGCGAGAATTGTTGGGAGGTATTTCTGCAAGCAATAGTCATCGATACTGGCATGCGATCTTATTCTTAGCCGTATATTTTCGCAAAGGTTCAAACTCAGAAATTGTAAACGTGATCTTGGTTCGACCACGATAACATTCCTATAGAGTCAGTACTCCGAATACCGTACACGTTTGGCCACCGGTATCCCCTGAGTCGCTTCCTACACAAATACTACGTCATGGCACATGCTGTTTAAAAGGTTGTCCAATCATCTTGCCAGTAAACCGGTTGTGCATTCCGTTTTCCGTTTTAACCATGCGTTTAGTCAAAAGAAGCTTCCCTTGGTCATTTAAATTCGTACAGAGTGACTTTAACACCGTACGCTATTTCTTCCAATATCGTACACGTATTGTAATTCCGTACACTATCTGAAAGACATTTCCGCTGCTGTTAGTTCTTTAGACAATTTCTATTTACTGGCTAATTATAAATTCGGAATAATGAACGTAGATAACTCAGGTTCAAAAACAATATTCATATACATACACTCCTTTAGTCCAAATTATTAGTGCAGTATTTATTTTTTATGTTTCTCATCGCCCGATCGCCCCTTGTACTTTTATTGAATCACCATTAGTCTGCCCCACCGTCCCCGTAAAGGAGTGATGAAGGGTGAAAAAAACCTCAAGGTAGCACGGGCTAATATCAACGATAAATACTTTTCTGACAATAAGTGACTATTTCAAAATGGACTTCAACAACGGCCATATACACTATTATTCTATTATATGTCTATATGTAATATTCAATTGTTTATCAGTGCCTACGCAAATGTTTCATATGAGTAAATATGACATGGGAAAAAATAAAATGTCACTGTACGAAATAAGGAGCATAGCAAAAATATATAATAATTTGGGCGTCAAATATCGTACGTCTCATTTTTTGTTAATTTTGAAAGTAACCTGTATGAAACCGGTAACTGTGTTTGAAAATTACATTTTGGGTCAGCTCAAATACATTATTTCGGATTTCCCTGCCGTGAGTGATGTTTAAATTTCCCGCTTTTAGGTGTAGCACGTAGAGAGTCTCGGATGGTGACCTTGACGTCAACCCGGCAAGAAGTGGAGAGAGTCGCTATTGCGCAAGTGCACAACACGATAACCAATCTTATCTCGAAAGAGAAAGCGCATGACAAATACACACAATAGCTAAAAATAGAGTTGGGAATTACCGCATTTCAAGTGACAACAGTAAGGTGATACAACACGCAAACATAATAAGCTATTGCGCACAAATCAAAGTGTAATGGAACTTAGGAGCCTGTAAAGAATAGGTATTCGAGTACTGACTCTACTGCACATAGCCACGCCTCTTTTCAGCACCGTGATGACTTCGCAATAATTGTTTTTTTGTAAGTTGTAACATGGAGAATATATACATAGCTGCATAGTGTGTATATACAATTGACAAGGTTGATATACATTGAATTGCTAATTAGTGATTTGAGCAGAGTAGGTACTATTTTTTCAAGATTAAGAAGAAGAAACAAAATTAATTTTCCCCGCTCAAAAAATAAAATCTTCATGTTTTTATTGGCCAAAAATGTAAACTTACAAAAACCCAATTTTTCTTATTGTTGTTTGCCCCATATAAACTTCATAAATTGCCAAAAATAAAATAGTTTTAGTATTTAAAAGGAAAATTATTTTGACTAGTGATGTTTATTTTATATTTTTTTCCCTCCTGCCTTTAGATTTTCTTAGGACAAAAATCCGTTAAAACAAGAAACATAATTGGTCTGGGCATAGTATGGATATCAAATTGTAGCTCCATACATACAAAGTAATGTTATTTTACACTGCATATCTATAAAGTATAAAAGTGTTCAAAAAGGAGGCCAGAATAGAGCTGAAGCATACTAAACGTAAGATTCATTTCTAGATTTAGTCTGGTGATCTGGGAGACTGACAAGTTGATTGGATAGGCAGACATGTTGCTCATATGCTTGATGGTTTGGTCCAAATTAGTTACAGTCCCTTATCATTTTGCTGAGTGATGTGTTCACAAAGAAACAATTCAATTGATTTACTATCACATGTTTTGTTGTTTTTTTCAGACTAGAGGAGCACAACATCCACACATGTACAGCGCAAGTAGTGGACTCTAATAACAGACAACCGCTCACCATAGATACCAGACTGGTGGAACCATTCAATGCCAAGATCGGCTCTCTGTTTCAGTTCATTGGAGAGCTAGAATGTTCCTCGAACAGTGTAACTCTGAAAGCGAGAGTGGTGCGGTGTGTGGATGGGTTGGACATGAAAATGTATCAGAAAGCTTTGATAGCACAGAGACAATACTTATCTTCCAGGAAGGAAGACTACAGTTAGTGAGAAGACAATCTGATATGATAAGATTCATATCACACAGACAGTACTTAGCTTCCAGGAAGGAAGACGACAGTTAGTGAGAAGACAATCTGATATGATATGATTCATATCACACAGACAGTACTTACCTTCTAGGAAGGAAGACTACAGTTAGTGAGAAGACAATCTGATATGATAAGATTCATATCACACAGACAGTACTTAGCTTCCAGGAAGGAAGACTACAGTTAGTGAGCAGACAATCAGATATGATATGATTCATATCACAAACATTGAACATTTAATGTTTCTAACAATTATTCCTAATTCTTTTTGGACTTGGTCTCAAACAAGTAGCATTAGTGTCTTACCATAATGAATAGTTTGCTGTCAGAGTGTTTTATGATAACATTCAAACTGGGGCGGTGGCAGACTGGCGATCCACTTTATCTGCTCATCAGGCAACAGGCACCTGCTGATGAATATTTCATCTATACTTTTGACTGACACAATCCATACCAAATTCTTATCCAGTCCATTTCAAATAAGCTAGTCCTTGAATATGGAGTTTTTACCTTATTTCATAACAAAACTGACTGGAATCTTATCTCATACCTAAATCTAATTGGTAGATAAAATTAGATCTATTGTTAAGACTAAGAGAAGCTGTTGTACAGGTTTATCTGTACATAGAATAGAACCAGATGTTGTTGGGTGACTAGTGAGGGCATTGTCCGCTCACCTAGTCACCATGTGCTGTTGTCCTTTGTCCAACCTTCCATTAATACGGAACTTATGATCTCTTCTCCAAAACGACTGAATGTATGTTAGTATATTTCCACAGCATTTGTTGTCTGACTGTTAGTTTGTCTTTGATTGGTTGTAGTTCTGTGAAAGTCTGTGCTACACACAGATGCCATACTGGCCCATGGTTTAGGTGAAAACCAGAACAAAAAGATTTCAAATTTCACTATACCAAATACTCAGGCAGCTAATACTATTCACTGTCATAAACTGTAACTGTCCTTTGTGTGTACATATTCTCATTAGGGGCGGTGGGGTAGCCTAGTGGTCAAAGCGTTCGCTCGTCACACCGAAGACCCGGGTTCGATTCCCCACATGGGTACAATGTGTGTAGCCCATTTCTGGTGTCCCCCGCCATGATATTGCTGGAATATTGCTAAAAGCGGCGTAAAACTAAACTAACTCACTCACTCACTCACTCACATATTCTCATTAACACGCCAAACCATCATTAAAATACTCATCAATACATTGGCAGGTGCCCTTTTAGTTAAAGTGTGAATGCATCATTTCAGGTCAGCAGCATATGTATTCCACCCAGTCCGGAAGAAAGAGAAGGAATACACTCCAAAATGTCATGTCCGTCATATTACACAAGTTGACATCCAGAAATTTCTCCCTTAATATGAACTATTTCTAACTACAATAATGTTAATATTTAGCAATTATTTCCCTTCTGGGTTTACTTGGGATGAGACCCATGAAGATCCGGGTTAGAATTGGACTTCAGTAACCCATGCTTGTAAGAGGCAACTAATGGGATCAGGTGGTCAAGCTCGCTTATTTGGTTGACACATATTGCATAGATCAATTGAAATGTTGATCACTGGATTGTCTGGTCCAGACTCGATTATTTACAGACCACGGTAAAATAGCTGGAATATTGCTGAGTGCGGCGTAAAACTAAACTCACTCATTACTTGGGATAAAAAAAAAGACATTTATTATCATGGTGATTTTATGGGTTTCCTGAGGAAAGGGAGATAACTGACTATAGAAGTTAAAGTTTCCAGCTTTGTCAGACTTGGTGGGAATTTCATGTCAGCAGCAAATGGATCTCCTCTCATTCATGCGTTGGCATTGGGTCATAATACGCTCTGGAATTCTCTCGTTCCGGTTATGTTTACTTTATTTTGGCACCAAAATCCAAAAGTACAATAGAGGGTCTTTAATGGCCAGGTGTGGCCTTGTTGCCTTGTCAAATCTGTCTTTCAGGGCAAAGCAAAGCAGTATTCAAGTACATTCCATGAAATATCACAATGTCAACTTACCCGGTTCATGATAATCCCTCGTACAAAGAAAGAAGTCTGTCATGAAGAATCACTTCAAAAAGTATCTACAGTCCACAACCATACATTTTGAAAATGTATTTCTCTCTTTGAAACCCAGATTCAAGTTTCCCACTATCATTTAGGTGGACAGAAGGGCAGGCAGTGAAAATGACCCATTCCCCTGACCCCCTGCGACCGCCTCCGTGGTGTAGTGGTTAGAGCGTCCGCCCGGAGAGCGGAAGGTCGCGGGTTAGTTTTACGCCGCACTCAGCAATATTCCAGCTATATGGCGGCAGGTTACCCTTCAGGAACAAGCACCATTTTAACATAGTAGTTTTACACTTTTTGGAAGATAGCGAAAGACATATCTTACAACCACCTCCACTTTAAGTAATTATTTTCCTTATTTATTCACTGTGGATCTTTACCCAGCAGGAACAGTTTTTACAAACTGTTTTTACATTTTAAAGGTAGCATGACACACAGCAAAAACAAACACAACATTCTCTTGACTACCTTGAGAGGCATTTAGAAGTTGGACAACAGTATATGGCTCTCACTGTAATAAAGACGTTGTTAATCCATATGTTATTCTCCTTTCTTAGGGGGCGGTGGGGTAGTCTAGTGGTTAAAGCGTTGGCTCGTCACACGAAGACCCGGGTTCGAATCCCCACATGGGTACAATGAGTGAAGCCCATTTCTGGTGTCCCCCACCCGTGATATTGCTGGAATATTGGTAAAAGCGGCGTAAAACCAAACTCAGTCAGTCTCCTTTCTTACATTCTCTTGCTACTGTTTCATCGAGATGTTTTTTTAATGAGAGGCTGTATTGTGTCCGACCCGTGAAGATCCAGGTTAGAATTGATCTTTAGCAACCTCTGCTCCTCATAAGAGCGGGCTCCAGTGGTCAACTCCCTGACTTGGTTGACACATGTCACCAGTTCCCAATTGCGTAGATGGATGCTCATGCTGTTGATCACTGGATTGTCTGGTCCAGACTCGATTATTAACAGACCGCCACCATATAGCTGGAATATTGCTGAGTGCGGCATAAAACTAACTCACTCACTCTCTCTCACTCACTCACTGTCAGTTCTGTCCAAGGAGGGGGCGGTGGGGTAGCCTAGTGGTTAAAGCATTGGCTCGTCACGCCGAAGACCCGGGTTCGAATCCCCACATGGGTACAATATGTGAAGCCCATTTCTGGTGTCCCCCGCCGTGATGTTGCTGGAATATTGCTAAAAGCGGCGTAAAACCAAATTCAGTCAGTCAGTCTGTCCAAGGATCCGTGCAGACAATTCCTGATAAAGGCTCCGGATCATAAATAACACAACAACAGTTTTTATAGTAATAAATGCTTTACTTGCAGGCTGATCCGAGTTCAAAGTCAGAAACAAATTCTCATGATAAAAAATATACAGCTTTGTGGCAGGTTGCAGGTATTGCATGATGGGATACATGCCAACAGGTCACATGATCAACAATCAGCATTGCGACATTAACACACTACGTACATTTGGCATTGGTTCAGTTCCAACAAGGCGACAACCAAACCCCACTGACACAAATACTTGTACATGTTGGAATCAATGGATTGCATCTAATGGAATACAACAATACGTCAAACAGACGACGTTAGTAAGAGTGGTGAAAAGGTCAAAATTTAAGCACATACCCTGTCGTGGCCCACGTGATTCCTTGGGTGGTGCTTGACCATCTAAAGACAGGTAACTCTAGAACAACTTTAGTATTGTTAAAAGACGCACATTGCGTAACACTATTTTCATTGCTTTCTGATGGAAAATAAGAGCACTTGGTTCTGAGACAAAAACCTTTAAGAAAGGAGTAAGCTGAAGTAAAATTGTCCACAAAAAAATTCCTCCATAATCAGTGATGGCAGGTTTCCATCAATCGGTGGATATCGCCCAATTTTATTTCAAAATCGCCCCCCTGAAGTCCCCAATTCCATGTCACAATATTAAGTTTTCCGCTGAAATTAGATTTTCCTGTTGCCATCGCTGATAAGTTCCGCTGATTATACTTCAAATTGTTCAATTGTGAATCGTCTAAATCCATTGAGAAACCCTCAACTCGATGACACAATATTACGTTTTCAGCATAAAATGCCTGTCAAATGTTGTTTATATGGGTGTAAAGCACAGTTAACGACCACATGCACTAGGAGATTGTCATGCTGTATCTAGGTCGCCATGCTAATACCTCACGAACAACAGAAGTCATGGCCTTGGGTTGACTTGAGCACACGACTTAGTGCAAGCAGCTAAAGACAACCAACAACAACAGACTTAACTCAGCCTTACATCCATACTCTTGTTGTTTGAACGTAGAACAGCTTTCCACATTTGTTTTGTTAATGATCCAGTTGTCTAAAGAAGCAATCTTTTCATAACATATACTAAGGTTGCCATGGTTACAGAGACTGGAATAAGTTCACAGTAAAATTCCACCGGTAGAAATTGAAACAGTTTCATACCACACGATACCCAATCATATATACAGAATCATGCACTACAACCAACTTTACATCTCAAGCGAGGGGAGACAACTCATCTGAGCTTCTAAGGTGTTGTGAGCTTCTAAGTGTCAGCTGAAGATCTAGGCTTCAATTTCCATCAAAGGTGAAGCCTACTTTTATTATCCAATCGATGATATTACTTGAATATTACCGAAAGTGGCACAAAACCTCACTCACTCAGTCAGAAGCAGGATTATGTTTCACAACACACAAAGGCTGTAAAGAAGCAGAATACTGTGTAATGTTCCTAAATGCAACCCAGAATTCCTGTTTTTCCTGAGCAGAGCCAATCAAAAGGAAAATAAGATGTTCACAACGCCCGCTAGGTCAATTAAATACTGGCCCCTGATGCTGCTTGTGACCAACATAACCCTGTCATACTACCAGGTACCCATTCACTGCTGAAAGTTAAAAATCACATCTACCTTGTTATTGTAGCTACATGATCATATTATCAACCACTGTGTTGCCTGCTAAAAGCCCAAATCTCACATACAAACAACAGCTTGGCCATGTATCTACAATCAGGTGCCCTACCCCATACTTCACTGTCCTGCCAATATGTCACACAATGCCAAATGTACCCACCTAGCTATAGCTCATATCACCCTTGCATGAGGGCAATACACACTTGTATCACCTGACCAACATCATGATGGACCAGTTTAGGATGGACTTGACAACTCTTACTGAACACCACTACTCGGTCTGGTCATTCTTAATAATTCTTTTAATAACAGATAAGCCAATACAAAATAACGCCATCATTTTGGTCTAGATTGGTTCCAGCAGACACAATCCCAGACTGTCATGTCACTTCCGAACTCCGACTCATCCCAACTGTGCATCCAGCCACTCAGGCGCCAAGGGACCAAACAGACAAACTCAAACTTTATCTGAAAGTCTTTGACCAGCAATCTCTCCGATTGTGATAAATATGCTTGCAATAATCTGACAGACATATATGCCAGATAATACGTTCCTGCTGCACATAATGAAATCACCGACACCATGCAGAAAATAAAATTCAAAGATAAAATATCTGTCAAGACTACTATGCATTAATACAAATCTCTTATGTACAGATCTTTAAAATCTTCAATTTATAACTGACTCCTGAAGCACTAGATCTTATTTATAACAAGATATATATATATATATATATGATGAGATATATAACTAAACAGTGCTAAGCTGTGACAGGAAATAAATGCATGCATGTGATGGTGAAACAAATGCATACATATGATTGGTGAAATAAATGCATGCTTGTGATTGTGGAAAGCTAGGTACATCAAAAGCAAAATGTTGCATTTTTATTTTTCCTGAGAGGAAACAAACATCACGGACAGAGACAGTTTGAAAACAAAACATTTGTGCAAGCAGAATACCTATGTGATGTAATATTGAGCACCCAATCCAAACA